GAGCATGCCATATGGTGGGGAGGTGGGGGCTTCTGGGGTCAGTCCCAGGCATTCGCAGGATCAGCAGTCTGGCGGGGGGAGCTGGGCGGGACAGGGAGTGTTTGCTGGGGCAGGGAGGGGCCCACAGAGGCCGTGGAGGGTGTGCAGACCCATGCTGCACAGCTGAGTCGGGGAGAACAGGTGAGAAAGCGCCCCCCCCCCCCCGCCCTGCCCCGTCTTCTCTCAGCCTCTGCCCCTGCTGGGCTGTGTGCTGGGCACTAAGTGGAGTTGGAAGCCATTTTCAGAAACCCAGTCTGCACAAGGCAGAACAAAGGGATGTGCAGAGAGGACTTTGATCTGGAATTTAAAGGGTGACTGTTAGGGGGTCCTGCTCCCCGCAGACCATCCCTCCCAGCCCAGCCAACTCACCTGCTACCCGCCACAGAGCCTCTGATGAAAACGCAGATGTCCTTGGGAAGGTGGAATCAGCCCAGAGGGCCTGTGTGCTGACCCCATGTGCTGACTCCTTCCTGACCCAGTGCTCTCTCCTCTAAGTGTCCCCTTCAAAGGCCAACCCTACACATGCAGGTTCTAGACAGAACGGCCCCAAGCAGCGGGGGCTGAGAGTGGCTGCCCACTGCGAGCTGCCCACAGGCGGCCTAGCGTGGCTGTGGAAGGGCTACGGAGTGACCCCCGGCTAAGGGAAAACAGGGCTGGAGCTTCCTCCCTAGGTCTCTGGACTTGGTCCCTAAAGCCTTTGCTTTCTGCTGCGGGCACTGAGGCCTCCACCGGGCCTACCCAGTGCCCAGCCCTTGGCCTGGCCTGCCCAAGAGTCACCAAGGGCTGGCAAGCCTGGACAGAGGGGCAGGGTGGTGGCATGAAGGAGGACAGGAGACCGTCCAGCACCCTCACTGAGCTGAGCTGAGTGACCACGAGCTGGAGGGAGGGGTGCTCCAGGCAGGGGGCTAACCTCTGTGTCCCCTTCCCCTGGGGTGCTGATCTTCAGGGGTCCTCCAGGATCTGCGCCCGCTCCCTGCCGGCGTCATGCACACCACCATCCCTGACCCTCCTCCTGCAGGCCCCAGGCCGGTGTCCCCACTCCCAGCTCCTTCCCCCACAGGACAGCCTGCTGAGTGCTCCCCAGCACTGTCCCTCGGTCTCGCCAGCTGTAGGGCTTGCTCACACCTTTGTCATTCTGTCTTTTCTCAGTGCCACTCAGGGTTTGCTGGTCCAGGCAGCAGGTAACCCCTGCCCTGCCCCCCCAACACTGGCCCTGCTCCCACTCCCTCTCACTGGAACTCAGCCAGGAGCCTCTGAGATGGAACCACAGCTGCCTGGTCAAGGGGTCCTCACAGGCCGGAGCCACGGGTCAGAGCCCACGGATTTCTCCAGAGCCAGGGCCCAGAGCGCACAGGTGCGAGAGGGGCATGGGCCCCCTGATGGCACTTCTCAAGCCAGGCAGTTGCTGGGAGGGAGGGGACTAGATGAGCCCGGAGAGCTAGGGCCTGGCGGGGGCAGGGGATGTCGCACGTCATTAAGCACCCACAGGCTCACACCCGTCCTAGGTCCGGGGTAGAGTGGGGAGCACGCGCTGACCCGGCCTCCCTCCCGGGCATCTGCCAGGAACCCCAAGCCTCCCTGGGGCCGGCACTGGCATACAGCCCGTGTGGTGTCCTGGGAGGCAGGAGCTCCAGAGAGTCTTTGCTTTGCAAATGCTGAGCCCAGGGGCCCTGGACCTTCCCCTGCAGTTTCACAGTTCATGTTGGAAGCATGGGTTTGGTTCTGTCCCCACCTGGAAGGTCTGGGTCTGCAAGACTGGTTTTGTTCCGTCTGACCACCCTGCAGGCTCGGACGGAGCCCTGCCCCATGGGTTATGAGGATGATTGTCCCATCTCATGAGGAAGCTGGTCATCGGCCTGGCTGGGAGCAGAACCGGCCAGGACTCCGCTGGAGGGGCTAGAGAGCAGTAAAGAGGATGGACTGGGGCCAGGTTGCTGGAGTCCTGCCCTGTGACCGTGGGGAGGCTGCCTACCTCCCCCGTGCCTCAGCGTCCTCATCTGTAAAGTGGGAATAACCGCAGCACCACCACATGGCCTCAAGGTGGAGAGTACAAAGTCTAATACTTGGAGTACTTAGCATAGCACTGGCCTCAAGTAAGGACTCTGGAAGACTTAGTTGTCACCAACACCATCACCCCCGTCCCCTCCGTCACCACCACCATCCCCTCCACCACCACTGTCCCATCACCACCATCACCTCAGCTGCCGGCACCCAGACGCAGATGTTGAAACACATGGGGGAACGTTCTGGAGGCGCAGCATGAGGGGAGTGAGCTGAGTTCTGCGGGTGTCTCCTGGGGGTGTCCTGACGGCTGGGTCACCCCCCTTGCCGCGTCTTTTCAGCAATCACCAGCGCATGACCAGCAATGAGAGGCCCATAGAAGTTCAGCTTGCCTGAGGCCCCAGGCGGCCTCCTGGGTTTTCATTCTCCTGACACCTCATTAACCTCATTAGACATCTTCTGTGTTGTGGTTCTTGTCAAACCTCACACCAGAAAGGGGGGCTTCTGTTTGCTAAAACATCATGATATTTCACAGCTGAACTAGTTGTAAGTTACCCAACCTGGGGGTGATTTGGAGAAAAGCCTCTCAGAGCTCACAGGGGATGTTCTCACAGCCCACCTCGCCGAGGGCTCTGTCATGCCTCCCGCTCTCAGCCCCCAAGCGTCCTGAGCCCCCTCCAGGACAGGCGCCCCCCTCGCCCACGCCTAGAGGGTCAGGTGGGCGGGCGGTATCGCAGGGAGAGGCCTGTGCTGGTCCTTCGGAACCAAGTCCAGGGAACAGCATCCCGGGCACACACCAAACCTCGCTGGTGACCGCAGAAAGCCTCGGGCAAGCCTGGGTGGTTCTGTCCCATCTGCCCACTCCGATGCCTGTGGGTGCACATGGCCCTCCACCTGCCCCATATAGCAACACAGGGATGGGGCCTGCTGGGAGAATGGGGATGACCCCACTGGGAGCACAGGGATGGGGGCCCCACTAGGAGTAAGGGGATGGGACCCCACTGGGAGCACGGGGATGGGGGCCCCATGGGAGTATAGGATGGGGGCCCCACTAGGAGTAAGGGGATGGGACCCCACTGGGAGCACAGGGATGGGGGCCCCATGGGAGTATAGGATGGGGGCCCCACTAGGAGTAAGGGGATGGGACCCCACTGGGAGCATGGGGATGGGGGGCCCCATGGGACTATAGGATGGGGACCCCACAGGGAGCACGGGGATGGGACCCCACTGGGAGGATAGGATGGGGCGTGGCACCATTTCTTCCCGCTCAGGAATGCTGGGAGGTAGGGGCTCTGCTTCCCATGAGCCTCTGGCTCCTCAAGGACATGGCTAGCTGTTTTCAGCCCCATAACATGCCTTTCTGTGCACTAGGAAATATGCAGCCCCAAGCCTGTGAGACCCTCCTGGCATCCTGCCCCATGGGGATGGTGCAAACAGCCAGCCTCTGTCCGGACACCCGAGAGGGCAGACGCCAGGAGCCCCAGCGGCCTGCACACCCCATGACCCGCCCCGACCCAGTCCAGCAGCACTGCCAGCCCCCCTGACATGGCCATGACCTGCATTCGACCCGGCACGGGGGCCCCACCCTGCCCCCACCCTGCCCCCCACCCTGCAGGAGCCCAGGTCTGGTCCTGCTCCTCTCAGCAGGCAGGGCGGCCCCCCCCGCCTGACGACCACCTGGGGTACCTGAATGCACCTCTGCCCACAAGGCCTAGGGCCACGTCCTGGCCACACTGCCACACTGTGGGTTGCTTCGGAGACACGGGTGGGGAGGCAGGAGTATTCCTCCTGGGCTAGACAGTGGCCGGTGTGGGGGATTCCAAAGGGCACCGGCTCCTGGCAGCACGGGTGGCCAGTGGGAAGAGAAGGGGTCGCAGCCAAGGGCCAGGTCTGACCCTCCTTTCAGGCCTGGGTCTCTGAGGAATCCAAGGTGCCTGGTCAAGATGGGCGGAGATGCCCCAGACATCAGCCTGTGGGGTGGCCCTGCCCCGGCCCTGGGCACAGGGCATCTGCCCTCTTGGGTGGGTGTGGGCCTCCGGACAGCCCAGAACCAGGTCACGGCTGACAGGAGGCGCCACCTGCAGGAAAACTTGGGTCATGGCGCCGAGGCCTGCAAGGTACATGGTGCCAGGCCAGGGCTCTGCTCCCAGGGCAGGTCCTGGGTGGGGACACCTGGCCGTGGCCCCACAGCCCACACCATCCCACCTCCTAGCACAATCTCTGCCCCCACCCCCGGCCTCCCGGCCCCTCCTCCAGGTCCTCCTCCCTCTCCCTTCCCAGGGCCGCTGGGCAGAGAAGGAGGTCCTAGGACACACAGTCCTGGCCATCAGGCACAGAGGGGCTCACTCAGAAACCAAGGAAGGAGGACATGACCACGCAGCAGAGGGGAGCACGAGGGGGTCGGTCAGGGGCCAGGGAGGGCACGCCCACCCCAGACACTCCAAATCTACAAGGGAACCAACCACAAGGCCCAATCAGGAGCAGGGCCAAGCTAGGATGGGCCTCTAAAACTGACCCCCCAGCTCGCCTGCGCACCTGCAAAGTAGTAGGAGTCTGGGTTAGTCATCCCCATGCAAGCTCGCGGTAAGTGAGGGACACCACATTATGGCAGAATGTTATTCCAACACCCCCTTCTTAGGAGAAGCGATAAAGAAACCATCGGCTAAGCTAAGGGAGGGGAAGAACCGGGTGGGGAGTGCCCCAGGAAGACTGCCGCTGCCCCACGCTCCCTCCCCTCCAGGCCAGTCCACCCGCCTCCCCTGCATGGGGCAGGGGCCAAGCTCTAGAGGCAGTGTGGGGTCCCCAGGTGAGAGATCAGGTGGTGCTCGTCCCCGCAAGGGCAGCGGGAATAGTATGCCAGGGTCTGGTGGGGGGTCACCGGACCCCAATGTAGGCCTGGTCTAACTGCCTCCCTCCCACCCAGAGGCCAAGGAGCTGAGGTCAAATCAAGGACATTTTCGAGGTTAAGGCCTGGAATTTATTTAACACTCAATCAGACGGTCCTGCAGAGAGTAAGTCGGGCAGGGTCTGACTGGCCTGGGTGAGGGCGGGCTGCGAAGGGCGGACAGGGGCAGAGGTGTGCAAGCAGGAAGCGTGAGGCCAAAGAAGAGCAGTGCCAGGTGCAGGGAGGGGACTCATGGACTTCTGACCCCCCCCCCAACTGAAACGCATGAGTCAGTGGACATGAGGGTCACATGGGTGACCAGGGCGGCAGGGGTGGGGGGGACAGGGGCTGACACCAAAACATGTCGTCAGGCGGATCTGCAGAGACGTGGGCACGGGAGTGAAAACCGCGTGGCTTGTTTACCGTATTCTCTCCTTTAATCCAGCTTAAACCTGGCGCAGCCTCTGAAGCAGCCACGCAGCTGAGGCCGTGAACCACCGCCCGGGGGTGGCGTCGGACCCGCCCCCTCCCCCCCAGACGCTTGGAAGGGGGCACCTGGCGGGCTCACGAGCTGCTAAACCCACTTGTCAGGTCTGCACAAGGGATACTCGCTCCTTAGCATCTGTCCGCTCTCCTCTTACTACTTCGTGTCGAACAGTGTATCCCAAGGCCGAGATGCAGGTGCGTGGAGCGGCAGGTGTCCAGCAAGAGCGGTCAGCTGGCGGCTTCTCGTCCAGCTCGGTCCCAGCCTCAGTTTCCTCACTTCGCCCTGCAGCTTTCTAGCCTTTTGGGAGAAAGGGAGGGGGTAAAAGCTATCCAGGCCGGCAGGGCCCGCGGCGAAAGCATGCCTCCGGTGCAGACCCGCGGACTCTTGCAGGGGCGAGCGGCACTCTGTCGCCCTGGCCAGAGCCCGCCTTCCCCGAGGGGCCTCTCACCGCGGGATGCTCTGCAGTGGAGCCGGCTGAGCGCGCCCTCCGGCCCGTGGAGGACGGCAGCCTCTTGAGGTCTACCCCCGGGCCACTCCTCTTGGAGTCCCACTTGGGCCCCGCCTGTGACCTCTGCCTACAGCTGTCTGAGTGAAGGCCAGGTGATGGACGGATGGAGGCTCTCCTGCTCAGCATCCCTGCCATGGTCCCACCCAAGACTCACACCTGCCTCGGAGGGCAGGGCTTCAAGTGCCATCCTCCCGCCACAGACACAGCAACGGGACCAGGGGTCCCTAAGAGCGTTCCTCGCCAGTCTGCTGGGCCCAGGAAGTGGGACAGAGTGGCCAGCACCAAGGAGCAGGCTCTTTCCTGCCTCTGCCCCCAGAGACGCTGGCCAGTGGGACCTTGGCAGTGCTGGGCCCATCCCATCCCCAAGAAGGGCCGGCCTTTGTGCTCCCCCATGGTCCTCAGTTCTACCTCCCTGGGCATGACCTGGACCCCACCTCCAGCCCAGGCACCTGAGTCCCCCCACACAGACCCATCACAACAAGGGGCGAAATGAACGTTCAGCTTATGTCACCACGACTCAGTAAATACTACAGCTGACCGCTGCACAACGTCCAAACCGGCCCGGTCCAAATTCCGTGTGTAACTATCTACTCCCCCAAACTTTACTAACAGCCTGCTGTGGGCCAGAGCCGCGGTCGGCTAGCATGTGCTGTGTGTGCTGCGTGGATTCTTCCAGTAAAGTCAGCGCGAGAGGACACGGTCGCTCCGGAAATCACATTTACAGTGCCGTCCGGGGACGATGCGCCCCGCGGAGGGCACACTTGTGTTGCTCACGGGGGGACTGCACTTGCTGCTGATCCAGCAAGTGTCCACCGGTGACATCTTCTTTCCCGTAGAAAGTTCTTCGTGGGTTAAGAACTGCTCCGTCGAAAGTCTTGTCTTCGACATACTTGTCACGGAGTCCTCAATGTCCTCTCCCCTTGGTCAGACGCTCAGCCTCCTCTGTCTGCCTGGGAGACACCCTGCAGCCTCCTGGCTGCACTCCAGCCTGGCGGCCTGCACAGCGGGCTGTCTGGGGGAACCCGGGCACTCTCTTGGGTCAGCTTCCCTTTTCCCAGAACACTTACTCCTCTTTCCTGCTCTGCTGTCTTGTTTTGGAGAAATGCGTTCTGCGGTCACTTCACAAGAAAAGCTGCGTGGAACGTGCCTGAGACCCCGCCCGTGAAGGCACCCCCCCCTCCTCTGTAGGCACCTGGCACCCGGCCTGATGGTCGGAGCTCAGCACTCCCCTCCGATGGCAGACCACTCTGCCCCTTGGTGAGGAGTCCACTCCGTTCCTCTCTCCTGCCCTTCCCGTGTGCCCTATTCCCTCCCAGCAATCTCAGGTTTCAGTTTCAAATAAGACTTTTCAGAAAATGAAGAGGCTTTATTCCTGTAGAGCTGTCTTCATCCCCCACCAGCTGGGACATTTGTCACAATCCAGGAGCGACACGGACCCACTGTCATCGCCCAGGGTCCGTAGTGCCCACCAGGGCTCACTCTGGCGTTGTGCATTGTACCAGTTTAGACAGACAGATGGTGACAGCTGTCCATCACTGTGCGGTCACAGTGATTCTGCTGCCTGAGTGTCCTCCCCGCTCCGTCTGTCCTCCCTCTTGGCAACCACTGATCCTCCCACATCTGCAGAGTTTTGCCTTTTCCAGAATGTCATACAGTTGTCACCTCAGATTGGCTCTCTCAGTAATATGCATTTGAGGTTCCCTCGGGTCTTTTCGTGGCGTGATAGCTCATTCCTTTTTGGACCCAGTGACATTCCATGGGATCCATAAACAGTTTGCTTACCCACTCACCTACTGAAGGACATCTCAATTGCTCTTGGGTTTGCTAACTATGAGTGAAGCTGCTATGAACATTCGTGAGCAGGTTTTTGCGTGGACCTAAGTTTTCAGCTCCTTCAGGTAAATGCCAAGGAGCACAACTGCTGAATCTCAAGGTAAGAGTACATTCAATTTTGTAATAAATCACCAATCTCTTCCGCAGTGCCTGCACCATTCTGCATCCCCACCAGCAATGAACGAGAGTTCTTGCTGCTCCACATCCTCACCAGCAACCGGTGTGGTCAGTGGCTAGGGTTATAGCCACTCTAATACATGTGAGTGGTAGCTCTGTTTTAATTTGCAATTCCCTCCTGACATACAATATTGAGCATCTTTTCCTATGCTTAGCGTCTCTATATCTTTTTTTGTGAGGTGTCTGTTCAGATCCACGGCTCATGTTTTAACTGGGTTGTTTGTTTTTCTTTCCATATTTTGGATAGCAGTCCTTTATCAGATGTGTGTTTTGCAAATATTTTCTCCAAGTCTCTGGCTTGTCTTACTCTTTTCACAGAGAAAAATTTTTAAATTTTAAGGAAGTCAGGTTAACAACTTTTTCTGTCATACCTTTGGTGTTCTATGTAAAAACTCCCTGCCAACCCAAGGTCACCTACACTTTCTCCTATTTTATTTCCTAGAAGTTTTGCAGTTTCACGTTTCACATTTAGGTCTGTGATGCATCTTGAGTTAACTTTTGTGAAGGTGTGAGGTCTGCTCTAGATTCATTATTTTGCAAGTGTTCCAGCACCATCTCTTGAAGAGACCACCTTTGCTCCACTAGGTCGGGTAATGCCAGTCCCCCAACCTTGTTCTTCGCCTTCAGTATTTGTGGTGATTCTGGGCCTGTGTCTCCTCTCCATCTAAACGTTAGCATCAGGTTGTCGATACCCACAACATAACTTGCTGGGATTTTGATTGGGATTGTGTTGAATCTCTAGTCTTCCCATCCATGAACATGGGATTCCTCTCATTCATTTAGTTCTTCTTTGATGTCACTCATCAGAGTTTTGTTTTTCTCATATGGATCCTGTACATATTTTTTTAGATTTGTACCTAGCACCATTTTTTGGTGCTAATGTAAATGATATGTTCTTAAATTCAACTCCCACTTATTTGCTGATGTATTGGTAAGCAATTGGCTTTTATATATTAACCTTGGATCCTATAACCTTGCCATGACCACTTATTAGTTGTAGGAGTTCTTTGGTCAATTCTTTTGGATTTTCTACATAGACGATTATGTCATCTGAAAACAAAGACAGTTTTAGCTCTAGCTTCTTAACCTGTATATCTTTTCCCTTTCTTGTCTTGTTGCAAAAGCTAGGACTCCCAGTATGATGCTGGACAGAAATGTTCAGAAGGGATGTCCCTGCCTTGTCCTTGATCTTCAGGGGAAAGGGTAGTTTCTAGTTTCTCACCATGAAGTATGATGTTCACGGTAGCTTTTGTATATCTTTGTCAAGATGAGGAAGTTCCACTCTATTCTTAGTTTGCTAAAAGCTGTTATCACAAATAGGTGCTGGATTTTGTCAAATGTTTTTTCTGCATCCACTGACATGATCATGTTATTTTTCTTCTTTAGCATTATATAAATTGATCTTCAAATGCTGAATCACCCTTGCACACCTGGGATAAATTCCACTTGATCATGGTGTATAATTCTTTTTATATATTGTTAAGTTTGATTTGCTAATATTTTATTGAGGATTTTTGCATCAATTTTCAGGAGAGATATTGGTCTGTAGTTTTCCTCCCATGTAACACCTTTGTTCTGATTTAGAGTAATGCTGGCCTCACAGAATGAATTACAATTTTTTCCCTCTGCCTATGTTTTCTGGAAGAGATTATAGAGAGTGGGTATAATTTCTTCCTTAAGTGTTTGATAGAACTCACCAGTGAACCCAGTGGAAAATTATTATTGATTCACTTTCTTTAATGGATATCAATCTATTCCAATCATCTATTCCTTCTTGTATGAGCTTTGGCAGATGGTGTCTTTCAGGGAACTGGTCCATTTCACGTTAGGTTTGTGAGCACAGAGTTGTTCCTAACACCAAACAGACTTTTCACTCTCCCACAATGTGAAGCTTGAGACACAGATGTTTAGAAGTCGTGGTAGAGTTTGGGGTGTTCAAGGAGGAGGTTACAGCTGTAGACAACAGATTTGGGAAGAATAAAGCTCACCTGAAGGCAGGTACAGTTCTCTGGGCTGGGAAGGAAAAGATTCTGAGAAGAGGGGAGAGTCTGATGGGGGGGTCCCTATGACATGGCCCAGGCCTTTCGCTTGCACTCCCACCTTCCGTGTCCTGCCCGGGGTCCACGGAGAGAGGTGACAATGCGCCCTCCGACAGGCAGTGCTGAGCCACTGCATCGGGGGTGAGACTCGCAGACCAGAGCCCAGCCGGCCGGGGAGAGCAGGCGTGTTCTCCTGCACCGTGAGCAGCAAGCGCACAGAAACATCAGGGTCAGCCTACACAGACTCTCTAAGCTCGGCCATTCTAGGGAGGACAGTGGGTTCCCTCCACCGGCTGGGTAGGTAACTATGCGTCCTTCAGGGCGGAAAGCTGCCTTCCTGACCACGGCATCACTCTCATGACCCCAGTCATTTCTGCACACACAGCGGGTGCGTACCAGTACCTGCGAACAGACAGGCGCATGTGAAGAGGCCAGCCTCCCTGCCACACAGACACTGGAGGGTCAGCCTGGGCCCGGCTGCAGCCAGGCCCTCTCACGGCCCCGCCAGGCTGTGTTGGGCACGAAACGTGGGCAAGGACCCCACAGACACGCCCCTATCTGTCTCCACTGATCAAGTGGTGGCACAACACATCTGTGGGCTCATGTGCCACGAAAACACTTTCCTGCCCTCTAACCATGATCCTGGGCACACCCTCAGCATGAGGCCCGGTAAACGCTCCCCATCATGGGAGAGAACACACGCGTGGCAAGTTCCCTTTGATTTTCCCCAGAACAGTTAATTTTTACACACGGCCGACAAATACTTACAATCTCCAAATCCTGCGCAGCCTGCCTGATTTCGAGTGGCTCCATCCCCTGAAGCCCTTTTCTGCATTTGTGTACTTTCTGAATGTGCTGTTTTAGGTTTTCTCCTATATGCCCCGCTCGGAAGGCACTGAGGAAACAAAGGGTGAAGGAAAGGATTTTACACATCAAGTTGAGTCTCAGAAACTCCTCTTCCAACAGGGGAGAGAGAATTTTCCTTTTTCCTCCAGGCCACACTGCGGTCCCGGGGCTCAGGGGCTGTCACGACGCGGTGACGACGCGCTGATGGTGGGGCCATGAGAGGCCATGAGAGGCCACCTGCTCCCCCTCCAGGCAGCAGCTCAGACAGGCCCAGGTGGTCAGAAGCTGCGAGAACACACACTATGTTTTAAACTTCAAATCCAGGTAAGAAACGACACATTCAGGACAATGCACAGAAAGCCACGTGCAGGAGAAGGTCTTTGTTTTCAAAGGAAATACACAGTTGTAATCAATCCTTAAACAGGATGTATTAAATTAGGATTTTAGATGTACTTTCTCTGCCAACATCAGGGCTTTGGGCTAATATATATTCTTTGCTGTTAGAACAAGGAGGCTCAGAACAGCAGAGCATTCTGGAAGGGTGCGTGGGAGGGCCGCAGTGCCCCAGCATGCGCACTGGCCGTGGAGTCTGGGGTGAGTCTGCTGGGAACACAGCCGGCTCCCCCTTGGCCAGGGCCTCCCGGAAGACCCCAGCCCCACACCTGCAGCAGGCTCTGCGTTGGCTTCGTTCGCTCCTCCCAGCAGCCCCCAGTCCTGCCCCACACAGGCTCCAAGTGTCCGCACCTCTGACCCTGGGTCTTGGTCTACAGGGTGGTCAGAGGCCAGGGGCTTTCTGACAGTGACGCTCATAAGCTGGGAGGAGACATTTGCTGTCCATGTTCATCTAAGCCATTCCACGTGGCTGGGGGTTCATCCAGTGTGCGGACCTGCAAGACTGTCCCCAAGTGTTCTAGGCACGAAGGAGCAAGGACTCCCCAGAAAAGAACAGCCCTTTGCCATTCACATGTCACACCATGATGACCTTCCTCCAGGCCTCTCAAACCATGCTTGGTCTCCAGAGCGCTAAAACACACAGCGGTGGGCAGGGCCAGCAGGTGCAGGCCAGGTGGCCAGGCCGGTCCTCCCGCGAGCCTGGGAGTCCCCCACCCACGCCCACAGCTCGCTTCCACTCAGGCTTCCGGTGCCCAAGGCGGGGCTGGTGCAGGTCAGAAGGGAGCAGCTAGGGAAGCAAGAGGGGCCCAGGAGACGGTGCTGAAGCCCCAGGGTCTTCCAGCAGTGCCCCCGGCCACCCGTGGCTCTCCCAGCATAATAGTATAAAAATAGTATAAAAGAAGAGCAGAATCACAGCATCAGTGTCTCATGTGCAAAGAGTCAAGAAGAGAGCGGTTCCTTGGCAAAAGGCATGTGCACACACTCACACACACACAGATTTAGTTCGGGTGGGTCACCATACAGACAGCGGCCTCGCAGCAGCTGGGGATGGGTGAGGGGCCCAGCGGGCATTCCTGGGGGGCAGACGCTAGGTCAGCATCGGGGCTCAGCAAGCACACCCCCGAAGCGCGAACACAGGAAACGACAGAGACGCCAGGCCCCCAGCAGCTGCTGCTCCCTGCGGGCCCACTCCTCTCCCCGGAGCCTGCCGCGGGGATGGCCAGGCCCTCCGCTGCTGCCCACGGGCCCTGGTGCGGTGAGTGTGTCTGCAGAGGGCCGCGGAACTTGGATCCCAGGTACCAACCTCTTGTCTTTACTTGCTCTTGACGACTTCTCTTTGCTTGGCCTCATTTTTCCAGACGGATTCACTGGCATTTCCTCATAATCTATCACATCCGTGGCAAAGGGAGTCTTTGAGGCCATCTGGGAAAACACAAGATGTTTTCAGGAATCCGAGGGGACACTGCCGTCCACACAAAGCCAAGCGCCCAGGGGAATTGGGCTCGTCCTTCCTCTGTGAGGAGGCCCATCGGTGGCTGTCCTGAGGAGGCCACGCTCCACCCACTCCCGCCTTGGGCCTGGCCAGCCCCTGGCCGTGGCGGGGCGCAGGGCAGAGAGGTGCCGGGCACGCCTGGAAGGTGATCCCTGCCAGAAGTTCTGTCCTCACAACAGACAGAAAACACACTACGATGGGCCCCCAGTCTCTCCAGTGGATGCCACTATATTTTCGATTGCTGACTTTCAAGCTGATGCGTAAGCACCCCCCACAACTGACAAGCGGGGGGAAGGAGGAGTCGGGTCCTTACGTGTGTCATAAAATCACGGCTCTTAGATGAATGACATCACAGACCCGCACAAATAAACGTTGAAACCCAAGAGAAGTACTTCAAAGTTGGCTTTTTTGGATACGGCGCACTGTGATTCCAAGTGAAAACCCGCAGCGTCCATGGGACGCAGGTGGAGAGGAGTGAGAGATCTCGAACACTCCCCCCACTTTCGGGGGTGAAGTCTGAGAACCAGACTGATCTCTCCCCACCTCAGGGGGCTTTAGACCCATGTGTGTGTGTGCGTGCGTGTACCTGAATGTACCTATGTGTGCACCTGTGTGTATTTGTGCTCTGTCTGCACGTGTCTGTGTACCTGCCTCTGAGGAGGCATGCCCCTTAGGGGGTTAGAAGGTTGGGCAGAGGGGAGGACAAGGCACGCGCAGGTGTGCGGAGGGGAAGGTGAGGCAGGTGCTGAACCTCTCCTCCAGGGGCTCCTCCAGCTGGAGTCTGGTGGGATCAATGTAGCGCTTACCTAGACGGTGCCTGCAACGGTCTCGTCTGCCACGGCACCTCTAAGTGGATTACCAGGGCCTGTCTGGTCATCACATGCCTGACCCTTAGAAGACGCTTAACACCCCAGGCGGGGGGGGGGGGGGGGGGCAGGCGGAGGGGAGGGCGGGAGCTGGCCCACTTTTACATAACGAGAACTCTCTTAAACATTATTCCAACAGGAAGAGAAGGACACGTGTAAATTTAGTAGGTATTTTTTAAAGTCAGACATGCAACTTAATTTTTTTTAGTATAAAAGTACGTTACTTGGAAAGAAGTCCCCAGCCACATTTTACTATCTGTACAAAACACACAGGAGGAAGACTTCCCAGACACCCAGTCCTCTGCTGAGAGCAAGGACCAGGGGCAGGGTGGGAAACAAGGTGGCTGGGTGGTGCCCTGTCGTGTCCCGCGCCCTGCTGGCCCACAGCCCTTCTGCGCGGGGACAGAGCCTGACGCAGCCATTTCTTGGGGACACGCGGGGCCAGCTTTCACTGGTACGCAGTCACCTTGCAGAGGACAGCGCAATCCACAGGCGTGTGTTTGCAGGTGCCTGTGATCGGACCGCTGCTGTCAAAGCACAAATTACCAAAAGCTCAAAGAAATTCGCATTTTTAACTTAAAGAGCTACTTCCCCATGCTGTAGCAGCCTCCATCCCCACAGTCTGTCCCACGTGGCCCTGCCGAGTGGCTGGTTGAGGGCGTCGCCCCCACAGCTCCCGAGCTCCCATCCTGCTGACCCTGTCAGCTTTCCCCTTCCGGGGACTGCCCCTTGCCCACTTTTCTATCGGATTCTTTAATTTAAAAAAGTCTATTTGTAGTCATTCGTCATAGGTAGTAACCTTATGTCTCAAAACACGTTACAAATAGGTTCCTGTATCTTTTGACTTTATGGTATTTTAGTCCATCTAGAAATTTCAGTTTTAGGAAGTTACAATTTTCTGTTTTTAGTTTCAGAGCTTCTGTGTTTCCTATTTGATTTATGAAATTTTGTGTCATTCTAGGTTATACAAATACTCTGAAGTTTCCATGCTATAAAATACAACAGTGACTGCATACAGTACCTCTATGTGGTTCACAAATTATACATCACCGGATACCCTCCTTCTTACAGAGTATCAAGAAGTCATATTTCCAGCTAGAACTAACCACGTGCAAGAAGTTAGCTCCAGCGATCCCACCTCTGAGAACTGAACGCACGGACTGGAACAGATGTTTGCACCCCCGTGTTCCCAACAGCATGGTTCACGGACAGCTGGAAGGGGCCCGAGCGTCCACATGGATGAAGGGAGGAAGGGAGGAGGGTCTCAGCCTTGCGAGGAGCAGCCCCGAGGGCCTGATGCCGAGTGAAAGAAGCCAGACACGGAAGGACCAGCACTGCGTGCCCCACCTTCGTGAGGTCCCCGGGGCCGGCACAGTCAGAGACGGAGACGAGACGGTGGGCGCCAGGGCGGGGGAGGGGATGGGGACCGAGCTTCCGTCTAGGAGGATGAGAGTCGTGGGGCCGGAGGGTGGGGCTGGCTGCACAACACGGTCAGCACCGACACTGCAGGAGGTCAATGGCTGGGGGCTTGCTCCTACTCGGCTCCCACAGCTCACGGAACCCCCACGTCCTCGCCCACCGTGGGCTGGCTTCTCGCATGTGCGGCAACGCTCCACCCAGGAGCCCACCAAACTCCATCCTGACACCAGGGGCGGAGGGTGGCGCAGGCCCCCCAGGCAGAGGGCTCGGTCCCTCAGGGCCGGGCTGCCCCCTACGCTGCTGGCCGACCGGCAACCAAGCAGGGCTGCCACCACCCCGCGGGGTCGATAACTCGCCAGAGTGGCTCGCAGAACTCCGAGACACAGCTGCTCACGTGCACCGACCCAACGCAGAGGCTGTGACTCAGGAACAGCTTCCGGAAGAGCTGCACAGGACGAGGTGCTGGGCAGGGTGCGGAGCCGCACACCCTCTCTGGTGACCAGCCACGTGGCCAGGCTATGTAGGGCCCACCCTGTGTCCCCAGTCTGCATAAACTCAGCTGCGCTCCCCGGGGCTTGTTATGAATAACAAGACACGCCACCACCCCAGGTCCCATGGGGTTTTGCAGCCTTGTGGGGACAAGGGACAAACGTAGTTCTCATTAGGCCATGGCATGCTCTCACAGACCAGCGTGAGTCTCATTTGCTCTCTCAACCTGGGCTGTTTTAACTTGTAAGAACTTCTTCCAGACACTCGAGTCAGTAGGTACCACGCCAACTCATCCTTCCCCACGGCCACAGGGGTAACCCGAAATTGGGATACAATTTACTTAGAGCCACCCCATCTCCTGGCATTTAAATTGTTTCCAATTTTTTGCTATAATAAAGCTCTGAAGGCATTCTTAAGAATGTCTACCTGTGCAAGTCTTGTTCCTAAAGTGGCGAAACACGGATTTTGAATGTTTACATGACAGAGGGGACAGGACACATACCATGAAGACACGGAGCACAGAACACGTGGCCCACAACACAGGGGGCAGAGGACAGCCCACTCCCGAGTGAGGGGACAAGGTAAGGGCAGGGAGTGTGATCTCCTCCCAAGTCACTGTGGCTTTGCCGTCGCTCTAACAGTTTGCAGAGAACACAGGGGTTTGGGTCCAAAACGTGTGAGAGGACCAACTGCTCTCCTGTCTCCTTCGTAAGAAGCGCAGGTGAGGGAACGAGCCAATGGATTCCGTGGGAAAGGCCACAGTCCCTGCCCCACCTGGTGCTCTAAGGACCTGGGATCCCCACCACACTGGCTTCCAAAATGTGCGTGTCCTCCCATAATTCTGCACGTGGATAAAAAGGCTCCACTGTTTTTTTTTTTTAGGGTAACAAACCATTGCTTTGTTTAAATGGACAAAGGCAACATGGGCATCATGAGGTTCCTGACAGGAAGGCGCCAGTGGGTCCCCCTGCTGCAGACCAGAGCCCGCCTGGAGGATGGCAGGCACAAGTGCGCGGGAACACCTCTGCGGGCCTCCCAGTGTCCCCCAGGAATGGCCCGGCCGCCAAGGGGGAGCAGCATCACAAACAGGGACCAAGGGGGGTGGGTGCCATAACCCGGGTACGCCGTGCAGGGAGAAAGCACATCCCTTCTGTGGCTTCTCACCCCAGATGCAAAAGCTCAGCCCAGTCCTAGAAGCCACCCGACAACGTAACTGATCTGCACACTTGGAAGCGCACGGCGGGTGGACACAGGACCGGGGGAGGCTGTCCTGGACAGCCCGGCGAATCAGGCCACCCTCCCATGAACAGCAGGTCTGTGCTGGGGGGGGGCGTCATGGACAAAGCGACTTCTCCGTGCACCACAGTGACCTCCTCACGGAAGGCAGCAGCCAGTCACGGGACGGCGGGACGGTGCTGGTGCGAGCCGGTGCTGTCTCCTCCAGGACAGGCTCACAGGGGAGGGGAGCTGGCGTGCTCCGCAGGCAGGCCGCCCTGGACGCCCGGGTTCAGACCTGTGGGGTGGCTGGGGAGACACAGGGGAGACGCGCGGCACTCAGGGTGGAGTGTGCCACACACGACCTGGGAGCTGGCATGAGGGAACAGAGGGGACGGCCGCGCAGCCCGCCGCCCTGGCGCCCAGGCTGAGACCATGGCCCAGGAGACCCAGAGAGACACCTCAGCCTCGGGGTGGGTGTGCTTGTTTCCCCGACCCCACCGGCCAGAGACCCAACTCCTCGCACGGGAAGGACGCAGGCCCGTCAGAGGGCCCATAGAAGGTGGCCAGGCTGCTCGCTGTCTGGCCTCGGGCTTCGTCTGCGCAGTGGGGACCGCAGCGCCCCCGGCACTGGACAGGACCCCTCCCACCGGCCCCCTCGTACCAGACTCCGCCACGGAGGCAGGGGTTTTCTCGGCGCCTGCTCTGCCATCCTCCTGGTACGGGTTTGCTCCCTCCACTCCTGCAGCGCTCGTTCATCTCTGCGGGGGGACACGTGGCTCATTAGCGCCCTGAGCAGAGCCCCTTCCCAAGCCCTTTCCCGTCCCTCCCCACAGACAGATGGGCACTGCTTGTCTGCTCCTGTCCCACGGCTTTGTGCCAGGGGACCAGCAGGGGCACCAGGACCCTGCCCCAGAGAAGACGGCGGGGCTCTGGCTGCCGGCTCGGGTGTCAGAGGCCTTCAGAGGTCCCTGTGAGACGTGAGGGCATCCCTGACAAGTCAACGTCCTCTTAGATGGTTGAGTTTCACTTTTAACAGTGAACCTCTTCTGTCCCCCAATCCCCTCCGCCGGGGCACCGCCATGCTGCTGGCACAGTCTGCCCCTGCCCCACGGTGACCTCCCTGCCCCTGGACCACGGTGACGTCCCTGCCCCTGCACCAGGGTGACCTCCCTGCCCCTGCACCATGACCTCCCTGCCCCTGCACCACCGTGACACCTCCCTGCCCCCGCACCACCGTGACCTCCCTGTCCCCGCACCACCGTGACCTCCCTGTCCCCGCACCACCGTGACCTCCCTGCCCCCGCACCAGGTGACCTCCCTGTCCCCGCACCACCGTGACCTCCCTGCCCCCGCACCGGGTGACCTCCCTGCCCCCGCACCACCGTGACCTCCCTGCCCCCGCACCACGGTGACCTCCCTGTCCCCGCACCACGGTGACCTCCCTGCCCCTGCACCACGGTGACCTCCCTGTCCCTGCACCGTGACCTCCTTGCAACAGTATCCACTAGACTCACTGACCACAGCACAGAGGCAAGGCTGCAGCAACAGATTGTTGTGAAATTTCTGAACATAAAACCCACCCCTGGCTCGGCTGTGGTTGCAGGTCTGGGGATGGGACTGGGTCCCAGCAAATCCTCGCTGGCCTTGGGCTTCACCCTCAGCACACTCCGAGTCCCCAGCCTCGCTGCCCTGCGAGACTGCTCCTGTGCCCTCCCCAAAGTCTGCTGCGCCCCTACCCCCGGCTGAGCCGGGCTCTCTGCTCCCCACCACTCAACACTCCAAATCCAGTTGTGACTCTGCACGACCTAGCCCCTCGCTGCGCCTCTGGACACAGGGCTCCATCTGAGTGTGAAATGGGATGGAAAGGACCCACCCCTTGAGAGGCACAGGGGTGACGCTCTGAAGTGGCCTGACGGGGGTCCGCAGGCTGTGCTGAGTCCAAGCCACAGGACAGGACTCTGCACACGGTCACCAAGGAGGCCAAGGAACATCATTTCGGCAGAGAAACCGAGAAGAGAGCGTTCTCCTGCCCTTGATAGTCAAGAGCTTCCTCCCACGGAGGAGTGCGGCATCCTGGCAGCCCCCGAGCCGGCCATGCTGTGTCAGGGAAGCCGACTTCCTGCCCCTACATCCCGCCGTGGCCAGAGCTTCCCCAAGCACCAGCACCCTGCATACCCTCCCGTGCACCGTCCCGATCGCAGGCTGGGCCGGGGGCGGGCACTGAGTGGGACTCACGCTGACACAGGGCACAGATGCTTATCTACGGGGTCCACACAGGCCGGTGCTGGGGCGGTGCTGTCACGAAACACCATCAAGAAAGGGGCCGAGGGGCGCCTGGGTGGCTCAGTCGTTAGGCGTCTGCCTTCGGCTCAGGTCATGATCCCAGGGTCCTGGGATCGAGTCCCGCATCGGACTCCCTGCTCCGCGGGAAGCCTGCTTCTCCCTCCCCCACTCCCCCTGCCTGTGTTCCCTCTCTCGCTGTGTCTCTATGTGAAATAAATAAATAAAATCTTTACAAAAATAAAATAAGGGGCACCTGGGAGGCTCGGTCGTTAAGCGTCTGCCTTCAGCTCAGGTCGTGATCCCAGGGTCCTGGGATCGAGCCCCGCATCGGGCTCCCTGCTCAGCGGGAAGCCTGCTTCTCCCTCTCCCCCTCCCCCTGCCTGTGTTCCCTCTCTTGCTGTGTCTCTCTGTCAAATAAATAAACAAAAATCTTAAAAAAAAGGGGGGGGGGCCGAAGTGAGGGAGGAGGGGGACCCGCCTGCAGCAAGGAAAGGGTGCATCACAGTGAGAGGCGAGCCCAGGCGCCCCCCGCGGGCAGGGTCAAGCCCATGCCTTTGCCCCAGAAGGGCTCCATCACTAGCTCAGACGCTGATGTGCCCTGCGAAGCCACCTGGGCTTGTGGAGAAGCAGCAGAAGGACCGCCCGCCCTGGAGCCTGCACTCCAGCCAAGGGCCTCTTCAGGGCTCCTCGGGGGGATGGCCTGAGCTCCGGCTGACTGGCTGCCTGGCACCTGTGGCCAATGACCTGCATGACCCTGCCGGGATGGCCAGGACTCCAGGTGCAGCCCAGAGCACACCCCCAAGTGCCAGCCACACGTGGGATGCATCCTTGCCATGCGGATGACAGCCCAGGGCTGGGAACATTGTGAGCCCTGACAGTTCTGAGGGCCTGAGCTGTCCCTCCTTTCACAGAAGGGACCGGACCCCACTGGACAGCATGTCTGGTGTGGGGACGAGGCAGGTGCACCACTGACATGTTGCGTTTGCCAGCAAGTCTGTCCCCATCAGGGTCCTCAGAGAAAATACACTCACGCGGGATGATTTCAGGATGGAGGAGGGTTTATTCACATGGGCAGTGGCGGACGGCCCCCAGGGACAGAGCAGGGGCCCGGGGCTGGGGCAGGGGCTGCAGCCGCCCCAAGCCCCAGGAGGAGGGACCCAGGCAGATTCACAGGGAGGCATGGGGGGGATAAAGACCCTGCCCTCCCTCTCCGCCTCCTCTCCAACCTCCTGCTGGGGCCCCCCACTGGCCAAACCCAGCCAGAAGGAGAGGGGCACTGGGGTGCTGTGGATGCAGTCCATGCTGGACGGCCTCCCAGGGCCCAGAGCACAATGGAGACGGGTGGTCGGCGGAGCTGGAGGACAGAGGCGGCCGTGAGGACAGGCCCCAGCCAGGCTCCTGGGGGGCAGACCGAAGCCGCCACAGCCAGCGACACGGCCAATGAGGCGGGGCAAGAGTGAACTGTCTCTGTGCACACGTCTGCAGCACATACCTTTCCTTAGAAAAGACCTGTGAGCCAGGTGATTAGAAGGAGGGGAAGGGGGTTAAGAAAGAGTAAGAAATCAGAGAAAAAGACAGGAAAGAAGGCAGGCGGGGTGCAGAGGACATGGAGCAATGACGGCCTGAGGCCTGTGCCCACACCTGCCCGAGACCAAGCAGGACGAAGAGCAAAAACTGACCCTTCCCCAGAAAAGTCACGGCCAGCAGGCCTGGCCCCAGATGCCCGTGCGAGCAGGGGTGTCCGGCAGGCCTTGACGCAGCCCTGCTGATGAGCACTCACCGTCTCCGCTGCTCCATCTCCACCTGCTTCTCCCAGTGCTCCCGGATGGCCACGGCCCTGCTCTCCTGGGGCCTCCTGGGGGGGAGCCCCGCGAGCTGCGATGGTACCAGGGCAGGCAGGACGCTCCTGATGGAGGGCCTCTTCCTTCTACAATCACAGCCCCTGCGATGCACACTCACCCTGGGATGGCCCGCGCTAGAACACAACATGCAACATGTACAAGCAGGGCCAACGGGGACAGACGGCACGACAGAGGTGCCCTCCCAGGGCCCCACAGCCCGGGGCTCCTGCTCCAAGGGCTGCAGGCTCGCTCCGAGGCCAAAACACCAGTGGCCTCGCAGGGAGCTCGGGACAGGACGACTAGCACACAGCAGGACAAGCTCCCGTCCCTGTTCAGGAGGAGACCCAACTGAAGAAGGGCAGGGAGGGAGGGGTTTCTGCACGGCAGGCGTGAAACAGGCCAGGCAGAGAATGTCAAGGCCGCGTCACGGCCGGGCACCTGCCTTCTGTGCCTCCGCTACTTCCAAGGTTATCATCCACTAATCAGACTTTACAGAATTTCCAAGCTTTGGAACAGGTGAAATAACAGTATGATAAACCCCCGAACACCTTTCATGCGGTAAATGCAAGGTTTCCATCTGCTTCTCAGTATGGCCCGGCCCCTGGCCTCTCAGACTTACTCCTCCAAACAGCCCCTCCACGAAGCTGGACCCCCACAGACACTCTGGACACGTGTCTCTGCCATCCACAGAGCTGAGCTGTGCAGTGCCGGGAACCGGAGTAACCACGAGGCTTCTGTGCACCCCCAGGGGCTAATTCCTGTCCCCCTAGAATGGCTTCACCCCCCTGTGAACGTACGATCTGTAGTCACCAGTAAGTATTCTCTTTGCATCAATGTCCACAGACACGTGCGTGCACACACACACACACAGGGCTTGTTTTTCTCTTGGCATAATCTCCCCCGTGGGGTCCATGCTCTGGGCAACCACAATCCTAACCAGGCTTAGCATGCACTGCACCATAAAAGCCAGCCAGACACAGCCTGACGTCTGAAAAGATAACTGCAAAATAATATTACAACTTTGGAAAGATCAAGGAAATACAGCATGGCTTCTAAATCTCACCTGAGCACATGTCTTGGGCTGGAATGTTCTTTCTCTTTCATGTTTAATGCTGCCCTGAGATTTGGAGGCAATTCCATCGCTAAGAGCTGGTTTTCAAGCACTTCTGCTTGTTCATGCTCAACGATCTCCTGCCTCAGCTTCCAGAAGCGCTTGATTTCTTCCTCACCCGGCCAGTCTTCCGAGGAATCGGTGGACTTTCTCAGTTCACTCAGGTCTAGCTTCTCAACAGGCAGGAAAAAGACTGCCTTTTCTTTTAACAACCCCTTTTGATCCTGGAAATTAATGGCATCTTCATCAGGCACAGTTTCTTCCTCAGATAAATACGAGGGCTGTGGCAGCTCACTTAGGTTCATCATTGTAACTGGTGAAATCACTAGTAGGATAAAATGTTGTTTTAGTAGACTGGACTCCAACACCAGCTCTCCAGAATCAAACCCCGTGACCAGCTCCCTCTGCAGAGAAGGCCTGGGGTGGGGGACAGGCTCCCTCTACAAAGAAGGCCTGGGGGTGTGGATAGGCTCCCTCTGCAGAGAAGGCCTGGCGGGGGGGAATAGGCTCTCTCTGCAGAGAAGGCCTGGGGTGGGGGACACAGGCTCTCTCTGCAGAGAAGGCCTGGGGGTGTGGATAGGCTCCCTCTGCAGAGAAGGCCGGGGGTGGGGGCGGGGAACAGGTTCTCTCTGCAGAGAAGGCCTGGGGGGGATAGATTCCCTCTACAGAGAAGGCCTGGGGGTGGGGATAGACTCCCTTTACAGAGAAGGCCTGGGGGGGTGGATAGGCTCCTCTGCAGAGAAGGCCTGGCGGGGGGACAGGCTCCCTCTGCAAAGAAGGCCTGGGGGGGGCAGGCTCCCTCTACAGAGAAGGCCTGGCGGGGGGACAGGCTCCCTCTGCAAAGAAGGCCTGGGGGGGGCAGGCTCCCTCTACAGAGAAGGCCTGGTGGGGGGACAGGCTCCCTCTGCAGAGAAGGCCTGGGCGGGGTGGATAGGCTCCCTCTGCAGAGAAGGCCTGGGGGGGGATAGGCTCCCTTTACAGAGAAGGCCTGAGGGGGTGGATAGGCTCCCTCTGCAGAGAAGGCCTGGGGGCAAGGGGGGGACAGGTTCTCTCTGCAGAGAAGGCCTGGGCGGGGATAGGTTCCTTCTACATAGAGGCCTGGGGGGGGGGGGGGGGAGCAGGCTCCCTCTGCAGAGATAGCCTGGAGGGGGCAGGGACAGGCTCCCTCTGCCCCAAGGCCCTCACGCTCCATATAAATCTATGCAAATAAATAACTTTTGTTTCCCCCCACCCTAGATCTTTTAATATCTTTATTTCTAATCAATTTTTGGCCCATATGCCTACTGTTTTTCTTTGACAATAATTTTGATGACTTTAAACACTTGTATCTCTAGGTAAATTACCCGAAAGAAAATTGGCCAAGAATATTCTTGCCTTTAGGACTAGGCTCAAATGTCCCCTCATCAACGGACCAGCTCTGGACGTTACGAGTAACCCCCACCTCCTGCAGCACCCCCGTCCCCCAGGACAGAATTAGGTCACAGGTCATGCTGACATAGACTCCTTCTTGGCTTTGGGTTTCTGAGTGACGGCACTGGATTCTGAACCGTAATTAAGAGATGAAGCTAGTATACTCTTTGGGAACAGGAGGTTCATGACTCGCGGCGACAGGTTGGCAGGAGACAGAACAGATGCGTGACTGACCGTGGGTGCCGACACATGCCCTTGGCCTTCACCATTCCAGAGCCTGCTGGCCTCACTTCCTGCCCCCAGCTGCACGTGTGTGCCTGGGCATTTCCTCTGGCGTGTGAAGGCAGCCTGCAGGGCTGGAGAACTGTGTGCCCACCCCAGGGGAAGCCCTTGACCCAGCCCTGCTGCTGCCACGGCATGCACGCCCTTCCCCCTCGCTGTGCTGGGAGTAACTCCGGGGCCTGAGTTCAGCAGTGGCCCTTGACAAATGTCACCTTGTAGATCCCGGTCCTGTAAATCCCTAAATGCGGGCGGCACCTGAGAGGCGAAGTGTGACCGCGGAGGCCCAGTGGGGCTTCACCTGCTTCACCCGGCACCCAGCAGGACCAAGCGCTGGCGTCCAGGGCATACCTGCCCCATTTCTCCCCTGCGCTGGCTTCCTCCCTTCCCCATCGCCCCTGCTCAGCCTCCACGTTGCCGCCTGGGATCTCATCCCCCATCAATTACTGGCCCTTGACTCCTGACTCGGGGCTGCTTCTGGGGGACACAGACTAAGACACTTGCAAATACAATCAGTGTTTAAAATTGGGCATTCTGGGGCCATTTATTTGGATTTTGGAGAAAGATGATTTAAGTGCAGCAGCACCTTCTAATCACTTTGGATGCTCCTTACGTTTACTGAGATAGACTTAATTATGTACATGCTTTGACTAGATCACGTATGTAACTATTGTGGCTGTTCCAAATATATGTATTTTATCAATTCCAGAAGTTATATTTTAAGTAGAGAAAATTTAGATATTCTGAAGTAAATTTTTGGAATGCTTACTTTTTTGTGAGCATTCAATTACAATTCTCTTCTATCTCCACTTTGTCTAAGTGTGACTAGGTGCTCACTCATGAGCATGTGGGAATGCACGGCTGGATGGTCCGTGCGTTGAAAACATGGGATCAAGTGTTTAATGAGCACCCACCAAAACAGGAGTAAGGGCGTTCTGTTGTGCTTGCTCTTAAGTAGTGGTCTGAAGGACCAGGTAATTCCTGAAACAGGTGCCTGATGGTAGCTTGGTGGTGAGAACGGTTTCATCTGATTTAACCCAGTGAATTTTTACCAAAACCCACCTTAGACAGGCTCTATAATGGGAACTGAGAATGCAAACCCATGAGCACAGAACCAAATAAGGGCATAGCTCTGACAGGTCGGCAAAGACACATGAACACGGTGTGAGTCCAGCAGAGGACATGCGAGGCCTTGTGACATCATTAAGGAGGAGACAGCCTCCCCGGTCCTGGCTTTGAAAATCACTAACTTCAGTTTTAATGCAGTTTGTTGTAGTAATTGTCCCACAAACCTTCAGAAGTTAAATCTTGGGGGGCAGAGTGCTGGGCAGCATAGATCTGCAGGAAGGCCAGGATAGCGCCCAGTCCCTTCTGCACCACGAGTGGAGCGGGGAACTCCAGAGGGCAGTGTCTCAGGTTCAGCGCTTTCAGTGAGGTCACGTTCCCTGCGCGAGAGAGGAAAAGCCCAGAACTACACACACTGTTACGTGGAATCAAACAAAGAGAGAATACTGTTTGCACATTAAAGAAAAAAAAAAAAAGACCTTTTTGAGAATTTTGGGTAAACGATAGGACAGATGTCTGAGATTTGCTTTGAAAAAAGTCTGCAGGGAAGGCAGATTGCACAGATTAAGTACCAGGCTAGTTACAAAAGTAAATAAATAATATAAAATGAATAAAAGCAGCAATAACAGGCCTCTGGCAAAAATCAGAACACGAAATTGCTATATTATCTAACACGCCTCTTGGCAATGACAGAAAAACCCCTAAAAGGCATGTAAAGAAAAGGAACCTATGACCCATACTCAGGAAATAAGCAGTCACTAGAATCTAGCCTCGAGTCGGCTCAGATATCGGAGTAAGCAGACAACAACTTCAAAGCAGTCACAAATATGTTCAAAGGAATGCAGAAAACTATGTTTAAATAATTAAAGAAAAACATGGTAAAATGACCCAACAAGTATAGAATGTCAACAAAAACAGAAGAAGGAACCAAATAGCAGTTCTAGAGTTGAAGTTACAAAGCCCGGGATGAAAAACGCACCAGAGGGACCCAACAGCAGATATGAGACGGCAGAAGAGACAAGTGATGGTCTGATGGCCAGAGTGAGGAACGACGAGATCAGGAGTCTGCGGAGGCCTGTGGGACAGCAGCACGCATGCTGACCCATGGGAACGTAGCGAGAGCCCCAGAGGACGAGGGGGCGAGCAGAGCGCTACGTGAGGACACGTGCTAACATGCCCAGCTTGGCGGCAGACATCAGCGTAACTTCCGGGACGTTCACAACCAAGTAAGATAAGCCAAAGGCAATCACACTTAGAAACATCAAAACCACTGAAAGACATAGAAAAGCAAAGGATCTTGAAAACAGCACAAGAGAAACAAGGGGATGACATACAAGGGGACAACGAGAGTAACTTCCAGTTGAAAACGGTGGAGGCCAGAGGACAGGGAACAACATGTTCAGAGGGCCGAAAAATCCTGTGGATCAAGTGCCCTGATCTACCCAAACTGTCCTGGAGAAATACAGATGAAATGAAGATATTCCCATCTGATGCAGGAAGAGTGGTTCATCTGAACTGGCCTGCAGCAATTACTAAAATGAATTCATAACTGAAAACTTTCCCCGCCGCACATACAGCCTTGGGACCAGCTGACAACCACTGCACTAAATGAATGAGTTTAATGGCAGAAGACAGAATCTGTGAACTCCAAGACAAGTTAACAGGAAGTAATGTGAACTGGAACAAACAGAAAAGGGCATGGGAAAAGAATAGCTTCTTTAAGGCACGTGGGACAGAATCAAAACCCCAACATCATGTGATTGGAGGCCCAGGAGGAGAGGAGAATGAGAAAGAAGCCAGATCTACAGAAATAACATCGACAGCCAGGGATTTTCCAAATCTGACTAAAGACATCAATAAACAGATTCCAGAAGCTCAGGAAGCCCCCAAAAAGGTAAATACAAAGAAAGCCACACCCAGGCACATCACAGGTGAACTGCTGAAAATTAAACATGAAGAGAGGAATTTTCAGCAGCCAGACAAAAGAGATACATCCATTTTAAAAGAAAAGCAGTAAGACTGATAGCTGACTTTTCAACAGAGGTTAGAAGCCAGAAGACAATAAAGACATTTTTTAAAAAAGATTTTATTTATTTATTTGACAGAGAGAGACGTAGCAAGAGAGGGAACACAAGCAGGGGGAGTGGGAAAGGGAGAAGCAGGCTTCCCGCTGAGCAGACAGCCCGATACGGGGCTCGATCCCAGGACCCTGGGACCATGACTTGAGCCGAAGGCAGACACCCAATGACTGAGCCACCCAAGTGCCCCAATAAAGATATTTTTAAATGAAATCTGGGTTCCTATACTCAGCCAAATATTCTTCAAAAATGATGGAACAGTAAAGATGCTTTTTTAGAAAATCAAACTTGAATAGTTCATTACCAAAAAACTAAATGAGGGGCGCCTGGGTGGCTCAGATGGTTAGGCGTCTGCCTTCGGCTCAGGTCATGAGCCCAGGGTCCTGGGATCGAGTCCCACATCGGGCTCCCTGCTCGGCGGGGAGCCTGCTTCTCCCTCTGCCTCTCTCCCTCTCTCTCTCTCTGACTCTCATGAATAAATTAAAAAAAAAAAAAAAAAAACCTAAATGACAACACAAAGAGAGATCTTCAGGCCAAGACGGTCATCCCAGATGGAAGCAGGGAACTTTGAAAAACGAGGGGTAAAGATGTAAGAAAATATAAATAAATACTGACAGCTTAAGATGTATCTGCTGGATTTATAGCAAGACATAAAAGCAAGATCTATGAAAACAATAGCACAGAGGTAGGGAGGAGGCAATGGGAAGAGCGCTCGCCTCTGCAGACGGTCATCAGTCAAGGACGTGCACGTGGTGTCTAGAGAACCACTGAGTAACACTACACACGGTACAATGAGGGGATTCTGCTGGTTTGCAGAAACTGGGCAAGAAAGAAATGAAAAGCAGGCAGAAACTAGAGGCGGAACGACAGCTTCGAGAGAGAAAGACACAGAGTGTAGGATCTGTAGGGCTTTCTGCGCCGCACAGGGCAGCTGTAACAGACAGAAACCCATACGGTTGTAGTGACTTGCAGCGCCAGAGGACGGCCTGTAGGGCTACCACAGCAGCTAAAAAGTGAAGGCGTGGATCCAGAAAGAAGAAGTCTGCAGAGGGGAGCCTTCTGTCTCCGTGTACATGTTTTGTGTGCAAATCCGTGGCACAGTCCTGAACTTCCCAAGCACTGGACAGGCTGGGAACAGCATGGCCATAGCTACTGCCCACTGCCAGAGTTCGGAGTCTATCACAGTCCTTTCAACTTAACTACCTATTTTTAAAAAACCAATACTCTAAGAAGGACTATAACAGAATCCAGAATCTCTACAATGTATCTATCACAATGTCCTAGATATAATCCAAAAAATTATTAAAGGAAAAATATGTTTATATCAAATGAAAAAATAACTCTCTGTAGAAAAGTAGGAACTATTAAAATATGAAAACACAGTATCTGAAAAAAAATTACTAGGCAATGTTCACAGCCAATCGGAGATGATAGGAAAGACTCATAAACTTGAAGATGTTTATCTATCTTCTCTGAAGAGCAGAAAAATGACCTTTAAGGTGTATAGAAGGTCAGTGATCTGTGGGACAATAACAAAAGTTCCAATAAATAGGTAAAAAAAGAGAACAGGAGCAGAAAAATATTTGAAGTCTTAATGACCAAAATATGTCCCAAATTTGGCAAGAGATGTGAATTTAAAAATTGAATAAATTCAACAAACTCCAAGGAGGATAAATACAAAGAAAACCACAGGTAGGTACCTCATAGTCAAACTGTTGAAGAGCAAAGATACAGAGAAATCTTGAAAGTAACCAGAGCCCATCAACATAGTTCATAAAGAACAAAGAATGAATGACCTCCGAGGCCTGGGGTCAGTGGAACTTCTTTAAAGTCCTAGATGAAAAAAATCCAACCCGTATTTCTAGATCAGTAATATCCATTAAGAATTAAGACAAAACAGGGGCGCCTGGGTGGCTCAGTCGCTCAGGCAGCCGACTCCTGGTTTCAGCTCAGGTCATGACCTTGGGCTCCCTGCTCACTAGAGAGTCAGCTTGTCTCCCTCTCCTCTGCCCCTCCCCCTGTTTGTGCATATGCACATGCACACTTTCTCTCTGCCCCTTATTAAGGAAATAAATCTGTAAAAAAAATAAAAACAAAAATTAAAAAGGCAGAGATTGTCTGACTAGATAAAAAGTGAACCCAAATATATCCTACAATACTAGCAATGTATTGTAAATACAGACAGGTTGGAAGTAAAAGAATGAAAAACATACACCATGCAAAGAGTAAGCAGAAGGTTGGAGTGGCCACACTTATACATACTGAATGGCCAGTAAGCATATGACAGAGTTCCACGTCCCTGGCCATCAGAGAAACACACACGAAAACCACAGTGCAGTACCACTATACACACCAGAGTAACAAAAATAACAATATAAAAATCCCAAATTTCTATTCAACCAATAACATAAGATCAAAATACATAAAGCAAAAGCTGACAGATCTAAAATGAAAGGCAGACAAATGCACATAGTTCAAGGTTTTAACACAGTCCTTCAGGCACTGACAAAATAAACAAAGAAGATGTAGATAATTTGAATGCTGTGATTAATCAACTTGACCTAACTCAATACATAGAACATCACATCAAGTAACAATGTGAGAATACACAAGCTTCTCTAGTGCACCAGGTGATGCTTACCAGACAGAATGTACCCTGGGCCAGAGAGCACACCTGAACAAGTTTCAAATAACCAAAATTACAGAGTACATGTAGCATTAAATTAGAATTCAACAGAAGGAAGAGACTAGAAAATCTCCCATTGTGTGTTAAGCGAAGCAAAACACAAAGAGCCCATGGGTCACAGTACATTCGAGAATATTTTGAGCTGAGTGATAATAAAGATGCTGCATGTTGAGGTTTGTGGGCACAGCCAGGGTAGCACTGAGGGGAAATCATAGTTGTGACTGCATAGATTAGGAAAGAAAGGTTTAAAATCAGTGATCTAAGGGGGCGCCTGGGTGGCTCAATCAGGTAAGCATCTGCCTTCGGCTTGGGTCATGGTCCCGGGGTCCTGGGATCGAGCCCCGCATCGGGCTCCCTGCTCCGCAGGAAGCCTGCTTCTCCCTCTCCCACTCCCCCTGCTTGTGTTCCCTCTCTCTCTGTGTCTCTCTCTGTCAAATAAATAGTCTTTTTTTTTTTAAAAAAATCAGTGATCTAAGCCTCCAACTCAATTGGTTAGAAAAAGAATAGCAAATCAAACCTAAAAAAACAGAGATAGTAAAGAGCAGAAGTCTGTGAGACAAACAGATGCAGAACAGAGAACATCGTCTTCTGTTTCCTCCTCCTCGTTATTTACAGCAGGGAAAATGAATACAAATGAAGGCACTACACTTAGACGCATCCCCACGGATAAACCCCAGCAGCACGGTGCTGAGCCAAAACTGCATATCACCAGGAATTCATATTGGTTATGATTCAACTTGCGAAAAGTTCAGAAGGAGGGCCCTTTAAACATGCACTGTTAGGGAGCCGTCAGCGGCAAGCTCTCCAGGAAAGCAAGAAAAGGGTGAGTCCGGACCCCCAGGCTCCCAGGGAGGGAGGCACGAAGGAGGGATCACGACTCCACAGAGCAGCACTGATGCCGACTTTCCTTAAGCTGTGCCCAGGCTCCAAAGCCCTTCATTTTTATTATTTCTTATCCTGTGTTTATGTGCCATACTTTCTATGTAGAATATCCATTACAACATTAACAGCTCTCGGGAGCTGTGCTATCTGAGAGCCTGGGAAGGAGGAAGCAAAGGGGATGATTGAAGTACAAGCCAGCTCGCCCCCTATGACTTGCCTTATGTTCCCATTACAGGTTCCATGAACTTAAAAAGGCAGCATTTTAAAATCAGCTTTCATTTTATTGTTTGAACACTTACCCAGCTCCACAGGCAACATTTTGATAGGATTTCTTTCTAAAAGCAAAGTTTTCAAATGCCTTTAAAACAAAACAAAAAATACAGAATTTAAAAAGCAAAAAATGAAATGACCATCTCCAAAATACACCATCAAATTTCTTCCCCTGCCGCCTCTTTAAGGAGACACCATCAATGCAGGCAAACATGCTTGCGGCCACACGTGCGGCCCACGGATGTCTGCAAACGTGGCCCCGGGCTCAGCAGTGGGCCAGGCCTGCCTTCTCAGCACAATGACATTCAAGACCAGGGGATTCTCTGTTGGGGGGGCTGTCCTGCACCTGTGGGGTGTCCAGCAGCATCCTGGCCTCTACCCACCAGTCCAACAGGACCCCTTCCCCACGCCATGACAACCACGAAATCTCCAAGCCTTGCCAAATCTCCAGCGGGGGCAACACTGCCCCGCAGGGGGACTGGTGCTCCGACTGCTGATCTCCCGTGTTTCCTGAGGTGTGCGGTGAGGGATCCAGCACTCTGACGTGCCCTGTGAGCAAGTTTCCTTGGTCAAAACGCTTGGGAGCCTTCTGCGCTGCACACCCACCCTGCTGGGGGTGAATAATTTGTGGTGAAGGATTCTGGGACGTCTCAGACCATGGCAAGGAGGAATAAGGGGTGTTTCTCCATGTCTTTGACTCCAGATCCCTTCCCTACTAACACCTAGTAACATCTCCTATAAAATCTCACACAAAATGTACCGTGGAGAGAGAGGATACAAGGTGCCCACTAAAAAGTAACTAACTGAATGATATGGAAAAATGAATATATCGTGTTAAACTCTATCTTGCCCCTTTTACCCTATTCTGCTTCTTTTGTTTTTCACATTTAATTCTTAAGACTGTATCATACACAAAGGATCAATTTCTTTTTCTCCTTTACTTTTTAGGGACCACCAGCTGAAATCTGGTATAAAAAACCCACAAATACCATGTTTCTAGCCCAGGGGATGGGCGTCCAGGCAGAAGGCAAGGCCCCTCCCACCCCGGCCACTCTGTATCTGCATCACCCTAGGCCTCCCAGGACTTTGGGAAAATTGTTGAATCCACCGTACTGTTTCATCTCCAGGGACGGGTCTGCCAGCCAGCACACCACAGCAGAGAGTGGGTCGGCTGGCCAGGCATGCAGGGATGCTGACCGTGTGGGGCTGGCTGCCTGCCACGGTGGGGAAGACCTCACAAGCCCCTGGGGAAAAGCCCCCAGCTGCCTTCTCCTCTATCGTTGACCTCAGCGGCCCCAGGAAACCAGCAGGGGGACCGAGTGGCTGGAGTGGGGTCCAAGCTGTGCCCCCTGGCTTCAACCCTCCTTTCCCAAAGGAAAAGAGAGGAGCAGCTGAGCATACCTACAAATCCCATAAATGAATCCACACTGTGGGTGGAGGGAGGCCATCTCAAGCCTCATTTCACCTTCAAAGGTGAAAAAACTAAAATCCAACATCACAACGCAAGGTCCCCAGGATTTGAAAGGAAAAAGACAATTTCACAGACATACAATTGAGAGTTCTATTATTCCAGTTAAATTAAGTTTAATTTTTGGATTGGCAACCCCAAAGGAAAATCAGATTACTTGAGGATTAGCAGTTTTCTTTTCATTTACTCCCTTGGATTTTCCTTTTTATTTGAAATTTTAAAGGAACAGACTTTATAGATTAAACTTTTCTTGATGTACACAAAGATGAATTATTTCAATGTTGTCACTTCAACTACTGCTTTTTGGTTCAGCCCCTTTTAGTTGTGTAATACAAAAAACAGGCCTGGGATGGGCGAGCGCTTGCTCTGCGTAAGGTGGACAGATGCTGCAGACTGGGCAGCAGGTGGGCAGGTGCCCTGGACTTCCCCAACAGCAGGTCCTGTCGGTCAGGCCGTCCCTGCCCACCGGCCTGCTGGCCTGGGGGTCTGCTGCGGTGGGCGGAGACCACGGCAACCAACCATCCACCAGAAAGCATACCAGGGCAATGATCTGTTTGAATATTCTCGTGCACACTTTGAATAATAAACTGATAAATGTTGACCCCGTAAATCCTATCAGTAATCCACCGGTTATGTCAGCGACTTCCCGCTGAACATACACATTCACGAGCTGAGTCACAGCTGCTGGCTTAAGGAGGCATAAATACTGACATACACACGTTCTCGCTCTCTCTGCTCACAAGTTCACCCGGCCAAGACAATGGGGGGAGAACATTAACACTGGCATTGCTTTAATTAGGCTTTTTAGAAAGTTTAAGGCTTTTAATAAGCCCATAATTACTTAACATTTCTGATTAATGTGTTTCACCTCTTCAGCAAGCTGATCTAATTTTAATGATATAATGGGCTATAAATCACATGTAAAATTATATCTTAAACAATACTAAGCAGCTGGCTTTGACTGGCAAAATCAAAACTGGAAGACTGTAGACTTATTTTATAGGAAAGAGCAGTGCTTGGGGAATGGGCTTTTGTTTATTTACCCTTTGAGTAGCAATCCGTCTCCTGGGCTGTGTGAGCACAACTCTTGGACAGAAAGCACTAAATCATCCTCAGCACAGAAGATGAGGACTTTGGGAAGAACAAAGCCTCCCCAGCCCACCTGAACCACAAGCTCAGAAGACTCACGAGGCCGTCAAGCTGGGAGGGACACGGTGGGCACAGGCCCAGGGAAGGCTCGGCCACCTGCCACACAGCCCTGGTTGGGGCCAAGGACACAGTTCTGTGCGTCCAGTGGTACGACTCCCGGCAGGCGATGTGCTCTGCAGACCCCAACAATCCCAGGAGCTCCAGGAAGGCGGCTCCTGGCTCTGACTCCCCCCGCCAGAGACCTTCGCTTAGCATCAGAAATTAGCTGCTTCCTTGCAGAGCCTGAAAAGGCACAAATGATTCACAGAGATTTTCTCTCACTGTGACATGTGACAAAATACTCACTTCCTAAAAATTACTCTGAACAACAGGGAGCTACAGGTCAGGCCAGTGAAGGTCCTTATACAGACCCCCAGTCTGATGCTTCCCGGTGACTGCATGGCTCTCTGTGGACACAGTTGCTCATGTAGGAACAGGGGGCTGCCCTTGGATACCTGTCTTCCTCCCACGCCCTACATCCAACCCAAAACCCACGGGCTCTCAAGTGCCCTGCAGCTCTGCGTTGTCAGCCTTGCCCAGGCCGCTGCCTCCTAACCGGCGGCCCGCTACCCTCTCCTTACAGAGTGAACTCAAAGCCACGTCGAATTCCACCCCTCTCCATTCAAACCCTCCGTGACTCCCAAGCTCTTCCAAAATGAAGCCCAACACTGCAAGCCCTCCTGGGTCCCGGCACACGGGCCTCCTCGCCATCCCCCACATCTGCCCCCCACACACCCCCATGGCCTATGCGTGTGCTCTCCTCTGCCCAGGAGGCACTCACGTTAAAGGAGATCCTACAGTGTTTACCAGAAGGGTTTCAAAAGGTCAGGACACACTGACAGGGAGGGATGGGGAGCTGTAGGCGCTGAGGTCAGGACAGGAGGTGGGGCTCTCCCAGGGAGGCCGGCTGACCCTGGACTGCCAGCCAGGGCCACGTGAGGAGGAGGGAGGCACGGCATTTGTCCCAGACGTGGGGGTGAGGAAAACCCGGGATCAGAGTGGCGGGAATGTGGCCAATAACAGGCATTCCTTACTTTGGGGTTTCCAGCTTTCCAAAATGGAAAGCATTTCTTGTTATTTATCAGAAACTAGTAAGTACCCGCAGGCCCTCAGGAGCAGAGAGGCTGGCTGTAGATCATCAGGCACATGCCCGATCCTTCCGGCAGCTTCGCATGATGAGAGTCAGAGCTGGAACCGGATGTTGCAAAGACCTCACTGTTGGCCCCGCAAAGGTACTGTGGCTACCAGCATTCTTTGTGCTATTAAATACCCTACATTATAACTATAGTTACGTGCGTTTGGTACATTCAACCACCGCATCTATTAGCTGGCTTTAAAAATAGCATTAAATGCTTCTACACTGAAATCAAAATTCAATCAGGAGTTGCAAATAAGCAGCAAAAGAACAGGCACTCAGACATTTTAACACATGATGGTTTCTTAAAATCTGGAAATACAAACATACCACTTACTTGTGAGACCCAATCCCAGAAGGAAGCGCTCTGATTCTGTTATAGCGGAGGTCCAACCAAGTGAGGTTTGGCAGTAACTGGAAGAAATCTTTAGGAATCTCACAGAGGGCATTTCTTTGAAGATGCAATTGCTTCCAGGGAAAAGAAACAAGAATGTCTTGTCAACTATACTTTAAAACATGATACATCCTAGAGCATTTCCAGAACCACAGGCTTTTGCATTCACACGTGTCAAGTGAAAAGAAAGCCCATAATATCTTACTCTTAGCTTAAACAGCAGACAAGAGTCACAGAGGAAGGTACCAGGGTCCCTTGCCCAGCTTTTGGGGCTGGAGTATGACTCCCGGGCTGGCCCCGCGGCTCCCTCATGGCTGACGGCCCAGCCTCCCCCGCTGCCCACAGCACTTTCTCTGCAAATACCCTTTAACACCAGACCGACTCCCCCAGCGTTTCAGTCCCTCTCCTCCTTCCTGGGCCCCACACTCAGTGCCTCTCGGGCTCCGCTGGGCCTGCCTCTTCCCTGGCGCCCATCACAGGCAGCCTGCGGCAACTCTGGTCAGTGGACAAATGGCAAGAGCCGGGTCTGGTCCCAGGGACTTGTCCCAAGCCAAGAGTTCAAAGGAAACGAAAGGACAAGTGCACGTGGCTGCTGACCCCGGTTACCATCAGCAGCTCTACAGAAGCCATCCGCTGTCGTGAGGCGTACGAGGGAGGGAAGGTCCACGTCAGCATGCGTGGCACTGACTCCAGCCGTGTAAAAGGTACGCGCGTGAGTCCACAGTCACAGCAGGGCACGATTATTGGGAAATTCTTTTTTAAGTAGGCTCCATGCCGAGCGTGGAGCCCAACACGGGGCCTGAATCCACAACCGTGAAATCGAGACCTGAGCAGAAATCAAGAGTCAGACGCTCAACTGCCTGAGCCCCCAGGCGTCCCCGATGCTGGATCTGTGGCGATATTGTTTCTGCATGAATCTGCGTGCCGCGTAAGCATACCCAACAGCTCTACTACCAGATGACAGAGCACAGATGTTAGGAACACTGGCCCAGAAGCCAGACTTCCTGGGTTCAAGTCTAGATTTGGAAACCTTATGAGCTGTATGACTCTGAGCAGGCTCCCAAAGCTCCCTGGGCTTCAGTGTCCCCCCTGTAAACGGGGTCACGGGACCCACCTGCCGCCGTGACTGAGCAGCACTGAGTGCAGCCCGGTGCAGCCAGCCGCCCCATCGGCCACAGCGTCACGACTCCCAGCTCTGCCTCCCATACCGTCCGCCGAGTCCCTTCTCGGGGTAGGGCGGGAGCTTTACCAGCGCATGGAAAGTGAAATCTCCAGCCAGCCGAGGCGCGGCCAGTCACCCTGCTGGCCGCGGGCATTCTCTGGGACGAGGTCGGGTGATTATGCACACACAGCGTGTGCGCACCCCGACGTGGAACGGCTCTCGGCCTTCGCTGCAGCGTGGGCTCTAAGCCTCTCAGGCCTCCTCTCTCTCAGGGCAAGCTGGCTCCAGTGCTCAGCTCTGAAACCACAGATCCTAGATGCCAGAAAAGGCAGGAAGAGACCGCGCTGCTCTTTGCAAAGGTCTGTCCCCGTCAACGGCAAGGGGGCTGCGCCGCAGAAGCCCACCCTTCCTCTTGGGTCCGGTGGGGCCGCGCGAAGACGGCCCTCCTGTGCTCCACGAGTGCACTGGTCTCTGGACGTGCGACTGGTGACTCCAGAGATCGCTGCTTCGTCTGCACACTACCTGTAACCCACAGCGCCGAGGGGCCACCTCACTCCATGTTTGGTTGCCACGGTAATAACATTTATAATCACATCTCTGTTTTTGGAGAGGCATGAACAGTTATGATGCTTCTTTATTAAGCCTGAACAACAGTTTTAGGATTTCCTCCTTCTTCCTTCATGTGTGGAGGTCCCATAAATCTCATGACGTGTTGGGAGTCCTCGTTCACGGTTGGGAGTGTTTGCCTTCAGACTGGGCGGCCCTGATGACACAGGAATTCACTCCAAGAGGTCGGTGCTCAGGGAAGAGAGAGCAGGGGCAGTGCCAGCCATGACCGCCAGCGCACGGCATGGGACACACGACAGCAGGGTGACTGACATCCCAGTACGCAGCTCTGTGCAAGCGCTCTGAGATGTCAGCCAACAGCCCCACGCAATGTGTCCGTGTGTCCTGCGGATACCGTGCTTTACACGCGTTACAGTTCCACTCTTGTAATAACCCACAAGAATAGTCTCATTCTCACGTTGCAGATGAAGACAAACGAGGCTTAAGGAAATTACGTGAGTCCAAGGCAGCAGGCACCCAGGCCCTGCACTCTTGCCCCGCTCACGTCAACACTGTGCTCTGACGGAACCTTATTCTAGAAACCCCAGGGAAAGAGACAGTACCTGCTAGGTTAGCAGCTGGTGGGGGCTGGGCGAGGCACCAGGCACAGGGGAAAGTCAGCATGTGACGTCAGTCAGCAAGGCAGGGCTGAGAAACAGCATTTACCTGTTTTAATACTGCATGGGAGCTTTTAGGGGGAATGTTTTAAATAGGAGATCAAGGGTGCTTTCGGCAGCAGTTTCTACCATGGGCTTTTTGGTGCTTAAGACTTTCCCAAGAAGAGAGGATAGATATCACAGTCTGACCCCACGAGCTATTTCCACTGGCTGGTCCCCATACCAGAATTTCTCATTTTGTGGTGAACAGCACATGAGACCCCGAGTTAACCCTCTTCTCTCTCATCCTAGAAACTCTCTCCTAAAGAGAGGACTCCAAATACAGCCACTTATGTCCACTCGGCAGAGGCACAAATGCCCTGAGAAATACCCCACTTACTTTAAGGTTGGGAATTTTAAAGATCTCTCCTAAATGGTGAAGACCACTTTGACTCAAGTCTAAAATCGACGAGGAAGACCAGATGACCCCCTTAACACCCTTGTGAACCTCTTTGGAGGGGGAAGCAGGCGTGCTCCTAACTTGACCAGCGTCGCTCTCTGGATCAGCCGGCCCCGGGGGAACCTCGCAGGACCTGCTTCCTTCCATCTGTCAGCCAGGAGGAAACAGTGCTCCAGGGACCTCTGCTCATCCTCCTTGGTCTGCAGTCACCTGGAGACAGGGAGGGGAGACACAGCAACATCTAGGTGACCTGACACGTCCTCCCAGGGGGCACAGGGTAGCTCGGTAGCACATACGCAACCATTTCACTTGCTTACAAAACCATCATTTTTAATAAACAGTATCATAAATCTGACATTTACGTTTAAAGGAAGGAAGGAAGGAAGCTGGAAATCAAGAAGGTTCTGACTGAGTGTTATACTCCTCACTTTGTACCATGGAGTTCCAAGATTTAACTTTTAACTCCTGGAAGACACAATGATGCAAAATAAGAATGACTATTTTAGGGATAAAAACAAAGCAGAACGTTTCAAAGTCTGTAAACCAATATATTCCTTCCATAAAATGTGAGTGTGGAGGGGCTCCCAAGTTTGCACTGTTTCTGCTGTGGTTCTGAGCTCCTCGCACTAGGAGTTAAGCTCCCTGTGTCCCAGAATCCCTCCAGTTTTGCCATTGGCTCAGTGAGCAGCGCTGTCAAAATAGAATCTTGAATTTCGGGTGCTCAACAATACTTCGAAAGTAGTTCAGGAGCTGCTGCTGCCCAAAAGCTCTTCCAGCCAGGCATACACGTGTAATTTCTAAACAATGGATCCAGCAACAATAATCGGCACTGGAACTCGTCCTCGCATTAACCCAACCCCCGGGGCTGTCCCAGGACTGGTATAGGTGTGGACACAGCCCCTTCCCGTTTGGGGGATGAGGAATGCGAGCACTGGGCTAGTTCAGGAACTGCCTAAAGGCCGAGCAACTGAGGGAGGGCCAACCCACAGGTGCACACCCACGGGCCTTTCCCGGTGGGTCCTTACCTGTGAATCACGACTGCGAAGGGAGGGAGGGGTGCAGTCAACCTCCTACACACCTCCCAACAGGGGGAAAAAATCTCAAAGCCGAGCGTGAACAACAGGATCTAAAATAGGGCGGAGCTGGCTCCTTGAGGGGTGGAGGCTGCGACGCTGTCCCCACCCCCCGCCTCATTTTCCCCATCCGCGCCATGCCCGGTTGGTCGGACCCCTCGGTCCTCAAGTTGCAGGACTGAGACGCACAGCCTTTGCCAGAGCAGCCGGACAAGGCAGTGGGGGCCGGCGGGGGCACCACCTTCCTTCTGCTGCCTGCCCAGGCACCGGGCCCCCGCCCCGCGCCCCCGCCTCCCCTGCGGCGCCCCCACCTCCCCTGCAGCCCCCCTGCCCTCCCACTACCGCGCCCCCACCTCCCCTGCGGCGCCCCCCCGCCCCGGCACCCCCGCCTCACCTGCGGCGCCCGGCTCCGCGAGCACGCTGGCACACCCGGACGCCGAGAGGGGCAGCCCAACAATGCAGGCTGCCGAGCCCACGCGGTCGCCATGGAGACGCCGCTACGGGGTCTCGGAGGCGCCAAGCCGCACGGAGGGCGCGCAGCCGCGGAGAGAGTGGCGCGCCTGCGCACGCGGTCCCCGCAGCGCCCGCCGACTCCGGCCGGCACGTGGCGCTGTGGCCTGTGGCCTGTGGCCTGCGGTGCGAGCCAGGGGGGACGCTCCCGGGGACACGTGTGCCTTGGTCCGGAGAGACGTGTGCACGAGGAAGGCCCCTGCGGCCGCCGGCTGACCACCGGCCTCCAGGGCCCGAGAGCCCCCCCCCCGGGCCGGACCCGCCGCCGCCGCCGCCCCCGCGAGCCCCGGCTGCCCGGGATCGCTGCCGTCGCACGGACGCCCGCCCGCCCCGCCCCCGCCCCGCCCCCGCCCCGCCCCGCCCCCGGCGGCGTCCTCCCGGCCGCGCGCCGCGAGCCTCTGGGCGCTGCTCGGCCGGAGTTGCCGCCAGCCGCCGGCGGGAGCCGCGCGGGGGCAGCGCCGAGCGCGATTCCGTGCGCGGCCAAGCGCCCAGGTGGAGGAGGGCGACGCCCGGCAGACGCGGAAGCCCCGGGGTGCGTCCTTCGGGAGCGGGGAGGAGGGTGGCGGGGCCCGGCCGCTGGAGGCTGGTGCTGCGGCGGCTGCGGGGGAGGGAGGCTGGAGGAACACGCGCGGGGGGAGGTGGGGCCGAGCCGGACCGAAGGGTGGCCTGCGCCGCGGCCTCCTGCGGAAGCAGTTGGCGGCCGTCGTCACAACCGCACGCTCGGCTGCGGGAGCCCGAGAAGCCGCCAGGCCTCGGGGGCGGGGGCAGCTGCACCCCCGCCTCCCGCGAGGGAGGCGAGCCAGCAGATGTGCGAGCTGCGGCCACGGCGGGCCGCCACCCTGACCTTCCAGGTGTGAAAACCTTGCTGCGGCTACCCCCCCCCAGTCTCACCCAAAATGCCGCTGGTGGCCCAGCCGGGAAACCCTGCGGGAAAGGGAATTGGGGTGCGGGAGGCGGTGGTTGAGGCCAGCCAAGTCGCCCTTCCCAGAGCCACCGCAATAGCTGAAATAAATTGGCGTCGCTCTTAGAAGTACTGCCCACTGGGCAGGCTGCCGAGGGTATCAGCTACAAGGGCCACCGAAGAGCTTTACGCAGGCTCTAAGGTAAGGTCCACCTTGTAAAAGATCACTCTCGGTTTCTGCTATGGAGATGGCACACCGGGTCATCATGACCAACCCTTCCACAGACGCGGGAGTGAAGAGTTCCTGAAAGGGTAACTTTTCCCCAGTGAGCACCTTTCTATTTGGGAGACGCGGTAGAAAGCTCAGCTACTGAGCAAAGCTCCCCACAGACCAAAGACCAAAGAGATGAATTGTTCTTCTGAGACCACTACAGAGAGGGAGGGTCTAGTCAACACCCAGACTTTGGGTTGGGGCCCCAAAATGCCAGGCTCTAGGAAGAGTGGACTGGAAAAACACCAAACCTCGTGGGGCCTGAAGCTCAGCTTCGGATCACGGCAGACCCTGATTGCATTAAGGTGACCTGGGGTGCTGGGTGTCTGGCTCCCTGCCAGAAGCCGATGTCAGAACTTTCTAGAGGGCAAGAAAATACCATCTTAGATCTCAACTTATCTGCATGGTTTTAGAATGTGTAACATGCATCACACACAAGGCAACATGAACACATGATCAGATCCCAAGAAGAACAAGAGAGAACAGAAACTGACCTATGGGTGGTCCACATAATGAAGTCAGCAAGCATGCACTTTAAAATAATGAGGATTAATGTGTTCGAGGAAGCAGTGATACTAGAAATTATAGCAAGGAATCAAATTGGAATTCTGGATCTGAAAAATACAATAACAAAAATTGATTGGATTGGTTACTAGCAAATTACCTAGAGCTGAAGAGGGTGTTGGTGAAGTGGAAAGTCGGTCAGAAGATAATATCCATCAACACGCAGGGAGAGAAGTCATCACAGGGGACTCACTGAACCAGTCTCGCACATTGGGTGAGAACGAGGTGGTCTTTGGCGAACCCAGCACCTGTCTGCCCTTGGAATGTGTCCTCTGCAGAGCAAAGGTTTTGGGAACCTCTGGGCTGAATACTTGTCTATATGGTTACAGGTTCGCCAGCAAGGGGCTCTTGCATGACGTTTGAAAGTAGAGGAGGACAGGCTAGTGATTTCTGGAGGCACACGCAATGATTAAGGGCAGGTGAGAAGTTCAGAGCAGCTTCCCAAGTGCTCCAGGTGGCAGGACAGGCACGGTATGGAGGCTACAGACATGCCTGTGGGAAAGGGGAGAAACCAGGAGGCACAAAGGGTGATTCTTCTGAAAAGTCTTCATTTTGATCTCACTCTTGGATGATGGTTAACTGCTATAGAATTCTATGCTGGCAGTTCATTTCTATCAGAATTTTATTTTATTTATTTATTTATTTTTTAAAGATTTTATTTGTTTATTTGACAGAGAGACACAGCGAGAGAGGGAACACAAGCAGGGGGAGTGTCAGGCAGAGGGAGAAGCAGGCTTCCCGCGGAGCAGGGAGCCCGATGCAGGGCTCGATCCCAGGACCCCGGGATCATGACCTGAGCCGAAGGCAGACGCTTAACGACTGAGCCACCCAGGCGCCCCTCTATCAGAATTTTAAAGACAGGACTCTGGATGCTGTTGTTGCTAATGAGAAGTTTGGTGTCCATGCAGTTGCCGTTGCAGTGAAGGAGATCTATCTTTTCTTTCTGTGTCCTTGATGTCCTGAAATTTCACTACAGTAATCCTAAGTGCGGACTGCGTTTCAGTTATGCTGCTTGGCACTTGATGTGCACTTCCTGTCTGAGATCTTCAGTCTTCAATCCGGGACATTGCAGTCATTCTGTCCTCACATGGAATGTGCTCTGTGGCCTGCATCCTGACCTTGATTCCTGGATTCTGGGTCTTTGGGGAGGGACTAGATTGAAGCCACTCCATCTGTTCTTTCTGTGTCTCCAAACAGCTCTTCCTGTTTTTTACCTGCGCTCCCCACGGGGAAATCTGCCTCCACTGGTGTCCACTTAGAGTTTGTGTCATCTACAGGGTTGGGTTTTTTTTTTTTTTTAATGATTTCATTTCTCATTTCTAATTTTCTCTGTTGTACTGGTTCTTGTTTCATTTTTTTCCAGTTTTGTTATATAATCCCTTCTAAGTTTTTGTTGCTATTTTCTCTTTATCCAACTTGAGAATCCTAAACATAGTTATTTTAAAGTCTGCTCTATTATTTTAATTTTCAGGCTGCTGTATTGTTTCCCTTTCATCTGGGATGAATTCATCAGCTGAATCTGGATCTTGTTCTCTTCTTAGAGGAACCTGCTTTGGAATTGCGGCTTGCAGGCTCATCTTAAGCAAGAGGTTTGTGTCTCGTTTCCTCTCTCTGCTCACCCCTCCCTGTGTCTCAGCTTGCAGGTCCCCGGGCTCAGCCTTCTGGGGCTCTGCGGCGGTGATGTGTGTTACACCGGGTGCTCGGGACTGTCACACAGCCCCCCACTGAGAAGTGCCGATGAAGTCACAGAGCCAGCAGTGCCCAGGTCCATCCTCTTGGTCATCCTTAGGCAATTGCTGCAGAAGGTGATTTTCTTTCTCAACTTCCTGCCATAGAAGTGGGAGACTTGTCCCAGGTCTGATTCCAGGTGATGCTCTGGGCTGTTGCCCCCCACTTCCTGCGGGCAGTTTTAGACCCTTCACTCCTCAGGGACTGCATTCGCAGCCACTTGCCCCTTTCTGGGCCTGGAGTCCCGCAGGTCTGAGGTCTCCATCTGCAGCCTGTTTTGCATCTCCCTTCCACTTTTGGTGTATGGAACTTTTGGAGTTTTTAAGAGTTTTCTTTTGAAAATGATCTGTTGTGGCCATGGGTGGAGGGACTCGTGGGAGGGCCTCTGAGTGAATGATAGTGCCTTCCTTTCCAGAGGAAGTAAATGTTTTTCACACAAAGGACATAAGAGAGTTTGCTCTATTTTACTTTTTCCTGTTTAATTCCTTGGTATGAGACTGCTGTTAAGTTATGTTTGGTAGGTTCCCAACAACTAATACACTTCCTCATCAAAAGAAAAGCGAAAGAAAAATTTTTAAAAACTTGAAATTTACTATATAGAAAGTTAAAAACAAAATAAGCATTTCTAGAGAAGCTTCACAGATGTCACAATGGCTGGAAATTATTCTTTGGAAGATGTTCAGCGTGCTCCCGAGCTGCTGCCTACATCTCCGCTCTGCCCATTGGGCCACTGTGCTGAAATGCGCTGGCTGAAATACATCCTTCTTCCTCGGAAAGAAGTAAGGTCGCAAAGGACAGATGACCTTGGTTTTCACGTGTGCTGCCCGCCCTCTGAGAGTGCACGCAGTGCAGGCAGCGGGATTGCCTCAGGAAGGCAAGAGGACCGCGGGGCAGACGTTGGTTCTCGGGCACCTTGGGAGGGACGTGTGATGACTCTTTGGAGAGGGTTCCAAGTGACCCTGGGTGGTAAGCTCGACCTTGAGATTTGGGTACAAGCTGTGTAGCTCCATAGACCGCCCGTGCCAGCCCCACGGCCTGGGGGTGCCAGTCACCCTTCCTCAGGTTCCTGTGAGTTCAGGCTCTTGGGGATGGGGGGAAACGTAGCAGGGAGAGAGGGCTGGCTCCACATGGCCTCCCATCCTCTGCATCGACCCACCCTTAAAATCCAGGCATCTGCAAGGTCCTCAAAGATCCCACTCACCCAAACCCCTCATAAGAGCAGTGGGGCTTTCTGCATGGTTGGGGACAAGGGTTCAAATCCCGGGAGAGCAGAAGCTCTCCACCCCCAACCCGTCGTGGGGTGGTGGGCAGTCCTGCCCTTCGGAGCCCCCCCCAAGGGTCCCGGCCCTTCGCCATCTTCCCAGGTCCCGGCCCTCCCTTCTCCCTTGTTCCTCTCGGGATGAAGCTGCTTCCTCCAGACACACTAGGCTTTGAGTCACTTTCTTGTCCCCTGGCAACGTCCTTCACTTCCTGCGAGCCCCTCAGTGCAATGAAAATGTGGGTTCTGTGGGACCTTGCTGTTCTGTGGTTGGGGGGCCCCTCGGGGCATCAGCACGGAGGCCAGGCCCCAGAGCGGCATGTGGGAGCCCAGTCAGATTTCAGTGAGTGAGCAAATGAGGATGTGTTCCTGTCTTCCTCACTGGCGTGTTGTTGCCCCTCCATGTGTGGGCACCTTTCAGGGGGTTCTGGCGAGCAGAGAAAGCGGCAGTGGGACAGATGACACGGTCCCGACAGGGGGGACGCCGCGCAGAGGGCGGGCATCACTGGTGCCCAGGAGGGAGGCAACACACAGGGATGCTTTGCTCTCGGCGTCGGACTAAAGGCTGTTGTTTGCACAGACTGAGCTGAGACGTATTTCCGGGCAGGTGTCTGCTGGGCTCTCATCACCTGGGCATTCATGCCCCGTAGGGTGGGAACAGCTTGTCTTAACCCCGTTTCCTGCTGCTGCCATGGCCAGAGCCTCAATGGCCTGCAACACGTGCATTTACTCTCTTGCCGCTCTGGAGGGCGGAGGTGTGGACGCGTTTGCCTGGGTGATGTCGGGTGTCTGCAGGGCTCTGGGGAGGATCTGTTTCCCTGTCTTCCCAGCTTCTAGAGGTACCTGCATCCCTTGGCTCTGCGCCCCCAACAGTGTCCTCGCTCCATTGTCGCGTCTCCTGCTCCCACCCTGGACGGACCCTGTGATGATGTTGGCCGGCAGATAACTCAGGATGGCCTCGCCCTCTCAACATGTTTAGCTCAGCCACGTGTTCAACACTCTTCTGTCCTGTACATACCGTGTTCACAGGTTTTAGGGGTTAGGATGTGGACGTCTTTGGGGGCCGTCATGTCGTCTCCACAGCACACCTCCTGGAAAGGCACGGCCTTCACTGGAGAAGTGCAGTGATCACCTGATGCGGTGGCCGACAGCCTGTGGCCACGGGTATTGGCGGCACCAAGGACGAAGCCCCGGGCCAGCCACACGATCCACACAATCAGGAGAAGTCCAGGAGGGAGAAAGCAAGCAGCCAGGGGCAGCTGCCGCACCAGGCACGACACCTGGCCCGTCTCCAGACCTCAGCCTGGCTTTGGACCCGCGACGTGTGGCTTCGTGGAGAAACCAGGCTCCACAGAAGAGGGCGGCCCTCCCCGCGTGGGCAGTGTCCCCCAGTGCCTCCCCAGGGTGCTGTGGCCATGTGCACTGGACTGTTTCAAGGGCTGCTGCTCACAGGCGGGGCTGTCCAACCCGAAGGCCTGAGGTGTCGCCATGGCCACGCGTTTGAGCAGAGCATGTAGAGATCAGGTAATAAATACGTCCTGGTCCAGGTGTGGCTTGTGGTGGGCACACTGGGTCCACGGACCACCGAGCAGGGCCGTTCTCCAAGCTCCTGAGTAGGTTGCTGGAGTGGACACGTGGCAGTCAGCCTCACCACTGTACTAACTACACCGTCTTCTGTGTCTTCACGCTGGGTCTCGCTGACTGCGCGGCGAGAGCCAGTTCTTGGAGACGGCAAAAGAGTGGCCTGGGAGTTGCCTTTCGAACGGCACTAAGCAATCTGGAGGTCTCCTCCGAGCCCCTCCTCCATCCAGCATGGACCGTCCAGCAGACAGTGACCAGGCAGTGACCAGGCACCGGACAACCAGGGACCACCGCCACTCTAGCCCAGAGCCCACCACAACTATCCCATCCATTCAGTCCTAAGCCTGTTTAGCTGCTCACCTGTTCCTTTCCTGGAAACCACACTGCACACTCATGTCCCCCCTCTGCCTCTTGGCCGACCCGGGTGCTCCCGCACGGCCTGTGGGGTGGGCCCCGCCCCCCGCCCCCCGCCCCCCGCTTCTCCGGAACCCTGTGCCCACAGATACCTGTCCCTTCACAGTGGTCATTTCCGTGTCCGCATGTCTTACCGAGCCTGTTCAAAACAAGTCCAGGGTACATTTTGAAACAACTCCCTTAGCTTCTTGGCCTGTGGGTTAAGGACCGTCACAGCAAGAAGGTCCAGTGGGGGCCTCTGAGGCTGCCCCTCCACCAGCCAGGACCCCGTCCCGAGGGCATGGCAGAGACAGCAACAGCATTGCCCTTAGACCTAAATGCAGCACAGCGTCCCCACCCGCCCCTCCAGGAGACGCTCAGCCATAATGGTAGACGTTTTTGGTGGTCAGAGCTTGGGCTGGGGGACTGAGGAAGGAGGAGCCCCTACCCCTAGCGAGTGGAGGCTAGGGACCCTGCCAAACATCCTTTGATGCACAGGATGACCCCCACAAACAGAGAATTATCTGGCACCAGAGGGTCAACAGTGGTGAGCTGGAGAAACTGGATTAGATGATACATTTCAGATAATCTCCCAGGAATTAAGGCAAAACCAAAAAGAGATGGAAAATCAGAGGGAACATGCATGAACACTATAGGATCAATCCAAGGGTTTCACAATTCAAATCAGAAAGGGAAGAGTGAAATCAGAAGGGAAGTGATAATCCATGAAGTAATTTTTAAATTTTTCCAGAGTTGAAGGACATGTTTCTTGAGCAGAGGGCTCCATGGGGGATCTGGTGCCAAGAAAGAAAAGGGACCCTCAGCATGGCGCAGGTTGTGATGTTTGAAAACACTGCTTTCAAAGAGAAAGGTCTACAAGACTCGAGAGAGTAAAACAGCCTGCAACAGTTCAGCTACAAAGGATTAGGAGTCTTTGTTTTTCTCAACGGCAGGCAGCCCTTCGGATGGCAGTGAAAGCCGATGCCGGGATCCCAGGTGTGCACCTGGAATAGGGGCCAAACGGTGTAGACACAGAACGTCGTCCACCAAACCAGGGGGAGCCACCGAGACGACCCAGGGGACACGGGGAGTGTCGGAGATGACAACAAAGGGCAGCCCAGCCCAGCGGGAGAAGTGTGGAGAGGGGGACGCCTCTGCCATGACCAGCCGGGGCTGAGAGATGCCTGTGGTGACCCAGGTGGTCGAAATGGCACCTCGAGGCCATTGCAAGGGGCGGAAGAATTCCCACGAGGCTCGAAGAAAACCAAGCAACTGAAGAAGTCGCGATTTATTTCAAGAAGGACAAAAAGTGGGGAAGGAAACAGGGTACACAGAGTGGGAGGGTGGTCAACCTTGCTTGGGGCAGCCCTTGGGCCAGACGAGAGGGTCCCCTCCTGCCCTGGGCGCTGGGCTGGGGAGGCTCTGAGTTCCACAGACACAGAACCACACCAGGGTCCTTGGGCTCATAGAATGCTCTTTGAAAGCTAGTAACTGATGGAGTGTGTTCAGGAGAGGGCGCACTAGCTGGCCGGCCCCCGGGCCGAAGAGAGCAGGGCTGTGAGGCATGAGTGTTTGAGGGGAGAGGAGAGACCCCAGCTTCCACCCGGGGGACTGGAGAAAGGCCAGAGGGGGCTGCCATGGGTGGCTCCATATCGTTGCAGGCTCCGGCTTCCCCAGTCACTCTCTCCCCTGCTGGGGTGGTGTGTCCTGGGAAGAGCTCAGAAGTCCCAGGGCTCCTCGGATGCTGGAAGGTTCTGTTTCCTGTGCTGACTGGTGGTTACACAGCTGTGCACACTTTGTGAAAATCTGAGCTGCACCCCTGCAACCTACACGGTTTTCTGGATGCCTGCTCCATGTTGATAGAAGAGTTTATTCTACAGGCATTCTTAGAGGAGAATATGGGTGAATTTTATGTTGTTCTTAGGCTAAGAAAGGATTTCTTAAATGAAATATAGAAGCACTAACCACAAAAGCAAATGTTGATAAATGCACTACATTAAAAGTACTCTTGCTTATCAAAAAGACACCATAAGGAAAATTAAAAGCTGAGCCAAAAGCAAGAGAAGATATTGGTAATTCTTATTTTCAGTAGATTAGTATGCAGAATACATAAAGAACTCCTATAATTCAATTTAAAAAGATAAAAACAATAGGTTTAATTGGATTAATGGGCAAAAGATAGGCACCAACCACTCACAGTAGAGGAAAAACAAATGGCCAATAAAGATATTAAAAGTGCTCACTGTAATCAGCTAGCAGGGAAACAATTTTATCCTGAACGAGATAGCGTTCAGTTGCCAGGAGAGGAGTAAGCCCCCAGGTCCTGCTGCTGCTGTGGGGTGTGCGTCCGTTCGTTAGGAGCACCTGGGGAAGCATCTGCACCCCGGGTAGGCCTGCGGTGACCCCACTGCTCACCCAGAGGCTTCAGGGAAGCAAACAGAGAGGACACGTGGGCAGAGTCGCTCATGGCAGCCCCCCTCCCCACTTCAGCAAAGCCTGGAAAGGACCCCAAGCCCAGGGCAAGGGAAAGCCATGAAATGAGTGAACAGGTGCTTCTTGCAACAACAGGGATGAATCCTATCAATAGCTTTTGACAGAAAGAAGCAAATTGCAAGAGATCTCATGCAGTAGGAAATGTTTCTCATACCAGCAACCTTAGATGATAAGGTGCAAGTGGGAATGATGAAATTCTAAGAAGGGGGAAATCAAGGGGTGGGTTGGCCCACAGCCCAGGCTGGGGGGCAGGCAGGAGACGGGGGTGCACGTGGGGGTGTCACGGGCTGAGTTGTGGCTCCCCGAAATTCATTGCTGGACATCCTGACCCCAGTGCCGCAGAGGGTGACAGTATTCGGAGATGGATCTTTGAAGTGGTGACGAAGGTCACACGAGGTCACTAGGGTGGGCCCTAATCCATTCTGACTGGCGTCCTTATGAGAAGGGGAGGTGAGGACCCAGTCATGGAGGGACGGCCCTGTGTGGACACGGGGACAGGGTGGCCGCCCACACCCTGAGGGCTGGGGAGAGTGGCGCCCCTTCCCCCCGTGGTATTTGTTGCCATAGCTTCAGGAAGCTGGTGGGGGGGCAGGTGCCGGACCGTCGACGGGTGAGGGTGCTGGTGGCCGGGGGCGGCTCACGGGGGCTTCACGGTTGCGCTTCAGAGCTTTTGGAGGTTCCGCGTGTCATGTTGCAAAGCAAGGAAGAACTTCAGCGGCAAGCATATGTTGTCCAGCTGCTGGGGGGCGTCTGGGGGTCCTGCCCCGTCCCTGCTCACACCCGGGCCCGGGCAGGTCCTTTCGAGATGTCACTCCCGAGCTCCTGTAACTCATCTGTAAACTGGGGTGGTCGTGAAAGGTATTCTGTAGGATGGTTGCGAGTCTGAGTGGAGCTTGCAGTGAGACCCCAGCCCGGTGCTCATCTCGATGATGCTGGGAGGGGGGGCGTTACCCTGATTTCACATGGGAGAAACTAAGACACAGGGGGGTGCCCGAGGGCTGGAGACGGCTCCCAGGGGAGTGAAGGACCTGGATTCACACCCAGCTCTGGACCACCTCCCTCCTTCCGGGCACATCTAAGGGGAACATAAAACAGTGGGATCCCCTCCCGCAGCAAGACTCTAAAACAGAAGCGATTTCTCCACGGGGGCCTTTCTGGGGCCCTAGAAGCAGCAAGCTCACCCTGAGGAGGGCCCCACCAATAACCACACTGCCGCTGGCTCCTGGCCTGGGGCCGGCATCCACGGAGCACCGAGGCGCTCTGCTCCTGCTTGCAGGAGGCTGGGCGATGTCACCGCGACCCTTGCCTCCATCCCCTCCATCCCCAGCAGGTGCCTGGGGCCTGGGCCAGATCTGAGCTGAGCGCCCGCACTGACCAGCCTCTCGGCTGCAGGGCCTGGCACCTTCCCAGCGGTGCCGGCTGGCCCCCGCAGAGGCTGACCCACAGCCCTGACCTGGGGACCCCAGGGGGATGAAAGTGGCACACTTGCCCGTGTGGATGAGCTGAGGCTCCCGTGCCAGTTTGTGCCCGGGCAGGCGGCCTTTCCCTGACCGACCAGACGATACGTTCCCAACGCCTAAAGAAGCCTGACTTCCGCTGCAAAGCTTGCGTCTGCTCCGTAGATTCAAAACCAGATGCGGTAGCCAGGGCGGTAACAAGCCCGCCTCGACGCAGATGAACAAAACTTCTCAAAATTTTAAAGAGAAAGGGCTTTGATTGGAGCCCAAGTGAGGACAGCTGCCCGGATGCACGTCTTCACAAGGAGAGAGTGCCCTGGGGAAGGGACGTTTGGGGCAGGGTTGTGTATGTTTTTACATGAAGAGTTACAAATCATCACGACGACGGACATTACAGAAACTTACAGACTTTATCTTCTGTTTGTGGCCTGTGCGAGGCTGTGTGACTTGAATCTCATGGGAACCAGGGAGGATTTCTCGCTTATCTGTATGTTTGGAATGCTCCTTTTGGGGTATGTTTTTAACAAAGCGGATGTACACGGGGTCCTGGGGCAGAAATAGAGCCATGCTTTGAGGTTTGGTGAGTCATTCTGACCTTGGTAAATGTCAATGTGTAGCTTCCCTGGGAGTCCAGGAACAGGGCCCACAAAAAGTTGAAACTGTCCTTTATTTTATCACCTGTTTTGAAGAGAGGATTCAGGACAATGCAGATAAGTGGCCCTTTTCCCTACTGATTTCAGGGGTATTTGTAGGGAACTGCATCAGAAGTTGGGTGGGGGATTCTCCCCCCAGATCTGTCCTCCCTGTGTGGTCCTCATCCCTCTTCCTCAACAAGCCCCTGGGGCAGATCCTGAGGTTGAGTTTTACTTAGAGGTGGTGCTGGGTACCTCCAAGAGGACAGTGGCCATGGAGGATGGCTTGAAGTCACAGCATCTGGGTAGAGACAGACAGTGGCCTGGCCCACTGGAGTCCAGCTGACAGAGAAGGGAAGCGTGGGCTGGTGATGGCCACTCATCCACCTGCTCCGGGGTGATGGAACCCCTGGTGAAATTGTCAGATATAAAGATCTCTGAGTCCCGCATATGCGCAAGAGACAAGATGCGGACCCGTGAGTTTAGGTGTTTGCCTGTGGCTGGGCAGCCCAGGAAGGAGTGACGGGACAGGGTGAGTCCCCACCCCTGACAAGCCCGTGTGATGTTGCGTGGGGCCCGTTTGCAGGAATTCCCGGGAGGACACAGGCTCTGCCTTCCAGGAGGCCTGTGTTTGCCTGCCTCACTGCGTATGTCTGGGACACGCCGTGAGCTGGGTCTGGGGCCCAGGGCTGAGGGTTCAGGATGCTCCCGTGTGAGGATCAGTGTGAGCCACAGATGGACCACAGCAGCCAGGCGGAGGGGGACTGAGGCCACGGGCAGGAAGCTTCCTCTGTGCTCTTGTGTTATTAGCAGGGGTCAAGTAGTTCAGAATAAACTAGTCAGATCTAATTTGGGGCCAGGGCATTTTTTAAATGGGATTTTTAAAAAAGCAGAAATAGAAAATGTCAGAGTGCCCACTCGCCTCGTAACAAGGCAGTTTGAAGCTGTTTCTGCCACGTGGGTGTGCTTACCTGCTGCACGCTCTGGTTGTTACAGATGAGGAGCCTGGAGGTCGGGGAGGGTAAGGACTCGCCAGGGCCGCGGAGCCCCCCGGGAGCGCACCGGGCTGTCTCCCGGTCATCAGCCACCAGAGCACTGAGGTCCCGACAATGCAGGCTATTTTTAAAACGTGGAAAAGAAAAAGGAAAGGACAAGAAATCCAGCCAGTCATGGAGGACGAGAACGCATGGATTCTACAGCAAGCGCAGTGGACCACGGCCCACCATTAGTCCGTAACCTGACTGCCAGGCCACGTGGAGACTGTGTGGTATGCGGCTGCAGCGTGTCGTGTTGTGGTTCTGGCTCGGGCAGTCCCATGCAACCCTCAGCGGCTGGGACACAAGCTTGAGAGTGCGTGGCCGCTGAGACGGCCGTAGACCAGGGCTGTCACGTGCCGTGGCGATCAGCAGTCGCCAACCTGCCCCGTGGGGCCACGGGTGCCTGTGACGATTGACCCCTGCCCCCCATGTCCTGCGTTTCCAGCCGGCCAGCACCCCCAGCCCTTCTCAGCTGGTGCCGTGCATATGCTGTTCCTTGTCGGGGAACACCATTGTTCTGACCTCCCCCACTACGTGAGCAGACGGGATGCGGGCAGAGTCGACCTCTTGCTCCCTCATATTCCTGTGGGAAACACACGAGTGGCCTGCTGGTCCCAGGAGAATAGAAGCCAGCAGGACAGACCTGCCCTGAATCCGTGGCCCAGGGCCAAGCCTGGTGAGATCTGTCAAACCACAGCCAACCCAGAGATGCATGAGTTAGAGGCAAATTCTTGGTGGCCAAGCTAAGTTTGGGGGTGGTTTGTGATGCAGAATTATCATGGGAACAGCCAGCTGGTACAGGGTCATTTCATCCCTCTACTAGCCCTCGGGGACCATGTCCAAATGGCCCTAGGCCAGCTCCGTCTGGGGAGCAGCTCCGTCCAGTGTGGACCTCTGCCCTACCCAAGAAGCCACTTCACCCACCCCCTTGTTCACAGTCTCTTAAAACATGCCTGTTGAGGTACCATGGGCCAGTTTGGCAGTAAGTCAATTATACTTTCATAAAAATGGAAAGATAACAACCAGAAACCAAAAGACTCCTGACAGCAGCCCATTGAACAGACACAACTCAATGATTTTTTGAAAATTTACAGGGTTGTGGGACCAGCACCACATTCCGTCTTCACATTCTGGTTTTTTAATGGCTCGAGCTTTTGGTGTCACGTCTGATAGTTCTTTGCCTCACACAAAGTCACGTCGGTTTCCCCGGGTTTTCCTGTGGAACTTCCATGGTTTTGGCTGTTACACTGAGGCCCCTGATCCGTCCTGAGTTAGGATTCATGGAGAGGTCTGAGTTTATTGTTCTCATACGGATGTTCAGTTTTCTCAGCAAATGCAATTTTCTTTGTGGGAATGTTTTTAGTTATAAATTCAGTTTTCTGCACACGTATGGGCCTATTCATGTTCTCTTCTATCAATCTTGACAAATTGCATTTTTAAAGGACCTCTCCTCTTTGAGTTGTGAATTTATGGCACAGAATTTCTGCAATATTCCATGATTGTTCTTTTTTATTACTTTGGTGTTTTTTTAAAGATTTTATTTATTTATTTGAGAGAGAGTGAGAGCGAGACAGAGAGAGCGCACAAGCAGGGGGAGTGGGAGAGGGAGAAGCGGACTCTCTGCTGAGCAGGGAGCCTGACGCGGGGCTCGATCCCAGGACCCTGAGATCATGACCTGAGCCGAAGGCAGACGCTAAACGACTGAGCCACCCAGGCGTCCCATCCTGGTTATTCTTTTAATCTCATTAGGCTCTATAGTGGTAGCCCCTTTTTCCATTTCTGATATGGCCATTTTTTTTTTTTGCTTTTTTTTTCTTACTCAATAATGCTAGGGTTTTATTGATTTTATTGATTGTTTTCAAAGGAACAATGATTTGCTTTGTTGATTTTTTTTCTCTCACTTACCATGCTGTTTCATAGATTTCTGCTCTAATGTCTTTTCCTTCCTTCTACTCACACTGAATTTAAATTACTCTTCCTTTTTTAACCCCTTAAGATAGCACTTAGATCATTGATTTTCAACTTGTCTGATTTTTTTCTTATAAGCATTTAAAAATAGCTGTATCCCCCAAATTTTGTTATGTTGGTTTTCATAGTCATTCAGTTTTAAATATGTCCTAATCTCCTTTGTGATTTATTGTTTGGTCTGTGGATTATTTCAAGTCCGTTGCTTAATTTCGAAATGTGCGTAGACCTTTAGGGCATCTGTTATCCCTGGTGCCTTAATTTGTTGTGTTCAGACGACATATCCTGTATAGTTTCAAAACTTTGAAATTTACTGAAACTTTTTCTTTTAGTCCTGGGATATGGCTTATCTCCACGGATAGGCCTTGCACATTTGAAAGTGATGTAAACTCTGCAGAGGATTTGATGGTATTCTCTAGATGCCGGTTAGGGCAAGGTGGATAATGGTTTTCCCCAAAATTCTGCATCCTTAGTAATTTTGCATGTGTGTGTGCTTATTCTATCAGTTACCGAGAAAGGGAGATTTAAGTCTCCTACCACGATTGGGGCTTGTCTGTTTTTTTCTTGGGCTGTCGTACAAGTCAGGGTTTTCCAAAGAAACAGAACCAATAGGATCTATAGAGATATATATAGAAATTGGGTCTTGTGGTTATGGAGGCTGAGAAGCACCAGGATCTGCCATCTGCAAGCCGGAGAACCAGGGGAACTGAGGGCTAACTCCCAGTCTGAAGGCTAAAGGCCTGATAACCAGGGAAGGGGCTATGGGACTATGGGGGCGGCGGGGGTTAGATGGTGTAAGTCCCAGCGTCTGAAGGCCTGAGAGCCAGGACCTCCATCCAATGTCTGAGAACAGGAAAAGGTGGACAGCCTAGCTCCAGAAGAGAGAGAATTCGGGTCCCCAACAGATTAGATGATGCCCACCCACTTGGGGGTAAGATAGTCTGCCTTGTTCAGTCTACCAATTCAAATATTAGTCTCTTCCAGAATCACCTTCAACAGACACACCAAGAAATAATGTTTTGCCATCTGTCTGGGCTTCCCATAGCCCAGTCGGGTCAACACATAAAATGAACCATCACACGAGTCTACGCCTTGTCACCTCGGCACCATACGCATCTCCTTAAACTATACTTAACCTCCAAGCAAAGACGTAACGAGACCATAATTCCACCTAACATGACTATCCTACATACACCCCAAAATGCGATGAACCGCTCTGCCGTGGGCAATGACAGCTGAGCACTTAGCCACCACGAGCAAGGTGGGCGTGCTGACCATGATGGAGGGCAGAAGCAAAGCAGCAATCAGAGTGGTCTGACCTGAGCAGCCCTGTGGTGTTGGCTGGTTTCTAGCGTCTTCCGGTGGAATAGATAGGAAGCCAAGTTCTTACTTGATCTGTGCTGTCAGAGAAGCTCCAGGTCAAGTGAACAGAAGTCTAGCCTGAACCACAAAAATAGGAGTCATGGCCACTCAGTAGTTTCCAGACTAGAGCCAGTGTAGACACCCAGAGCCCCCTGAATGGAGAGGTCCCCTTGAAGAAGGGCTCCAGGACACTACCAGGAATGTATATGTTACCCTTTCTCCCAGATTTCCCCAAAGGTACTGGTGGCCTTTGACCAGGGGAACTGAGCACTGGGGGGGAAGGAAGGCATCAGACATCTTGGGACTCCTGGACACTGGCTCTGAACAGACATCAATCCTAGGAGACCCAGAACCTCACGTGGGCCCACTAGTCAGAGTGGGAGCTTATGGAGGTCAGGTAATCAGTGGAGTTTTATCTATTTATTTTTTTAAAGATTTATTTATTTTTAGAGCGAGAGAGAGTGCGTGCATGTGCATGCAAGCAGGGGGAGCGGCAGAGGGAAAGAGAATCTCCAGCTGACCCTCCGCTGAGCAGGGAGCCCGATGCGGGGCTCCATCCCAGGACCCTGAGATCATGACCTGAGCCGAAATCAAGAGCCAGACGTTTACCCAGCTGAGCCAGGCGCCCCCATCAGTGGAGTTTTAGGTCGGGCCTGCTCCAGAAGGCACCCTGTGGTCGTGTCCCCAGTTTCAGGGGCGCAACTGGAATAGACATACGGAACAGCTGGTGGCACCCCACCTTGCCGCCCAGACCTGCGCAGAGAGGGGAAGACCGAGGGGGCCACAAGAACTTCGTCTTCCTTGGAACATAGTGCGCCAGAAGCAGCCCTGCCCTCCTGGAGGGGCTGCAGAGAGCAGGGCCACCGGGTGGTGATCGCCTCCACGTCCCCGCTGAACTCCCCTGTCTGGCCTACGTCTTGGAAAGTGGCAGTGTGTTATCATGAGCGTAGCCGGGTGGGACTCCGTCGCAGCTGCTGTACCAGCGTGCATGTGTTGCTTGAACAGATCAGCACGCCCCCTTGGCTGGCATGCTGTCGACTGGGAAAACGCCCTTCTGTCGGCCACCATCAGTGACGCCCCGGAAGCAGCTGCTTTCAGGCAGCACACCCTCACCGTGGGCTTCAGGGGCGCGTCCCTCTCCAGCCAGTTGTTGTAACTCTGTTTGCCGAGAGCTCGAGCGCCTTTCCCTTCCACAAGATCTCACACCGGTCCATTACACTGGTGACATGATGCTGCTTGGACCCAGGGAGCAGGAGGTACGAATACTCTGCGCTTGTTGATGTTCACGTGTTGGAAGGTGGGAGGTAAATCGGACTAAAATTCAACGGCCTTCTACCCCAGTGGCATTTCTAGGGGCCAGTGGTGTGGGGCATGCCAAGATGACCCATCGAAGGTGAAGGTACGTAGCTCCATTTGACCCTTCCTACAACCAGAAAGAGGCACGATGCCTGATTTTAGTTCCGTGTGCATCACAGTGATTTGATACTTCCATACGTGACGAAATGATCCCCGCGACGGGTCTGGTTATTGTCTGTCCTCATACGAAGTTATTACATTACAGTATGACTGACTACATCTGCTGTGATGTGCATTACATCCTCATGACTTACTTATTCTATAACTTCCAGTTATATAACCCCACCCCTCGTCTCCCCCTCCGGTAGCCACGTTTGTTTCCTGTATCTGTGTGCTTCTCTTTTGTTTGTTCACTTGTTTTGTTTTTAGATTCCACATATGAGTGAAATCATATGGTATCTTTCTTTCTCTGGCTGACTTATTTCTCTTACGGTTATACCCTCTAGGTCCATCCATGTTGTCGCAAATGGCCAGATTTTGTTCTTTTTCATGGCTGAGTAATATTCCATTGTGTATATACACCACATCCTCTTTATCCTTTCACCCATCAGTGGACACTCAGGCGGCTTCCAAATCTTGGTTGCTGCAAATAATGCTGCAGGGAACGTAGGGGTGCATGTATCTCTCCAAACTGGTGTTTTCCTTTTTTTAAAAAACCCAGAAGTGGAGTGGAACCTCCACAGTGTTTTCCATAGTGGCCGCACCAATCAATTTTAAAGGTAAGCTTTTCAAGTAGTAGGATTTCCGTTTACCTTGAACAGCTTCCTTTTTTATTTGTTATGGGGCTCTCCTGCTGGTGACAAATTCTCTCTATTGTTTGTTTCTCTCAAAATGCCTTTTTTAGCCTTTATTTTTGAAGCATATTCTCCTTTGATACAGAATTCTATGTTGGAGTTTCTTCCTTTCAGCAAAGTTAAGATGTTGCTCCATTGTCTTCTGGACTTCATGTCTCCTGTTGAGAAGTTGGCTGCCATTTTCCACTTTACAAGAACCTACTTTATTCCAATTTTCCACATACATCACTGATAATTTCTATTGACCTGTCTACATGTTTACTGATGCTGTCTTTTAATTTTTCCAATAGAATAGTATGGCTGTTGAAAACAATTTAAATCTCAGATATTGTATCTTTCAATTCTAGACTTTACATTTCTCACCTGAGATTACCTGTCTCCTCACCCATATTGTCCATCTTTTCCTGTGAATTCTCTAACGTAGTTAGTTTTCCTCCAGCGACCCTAGAATGCCCAGCTACACTGTCAAGCCCATTTCTAGGGACTCTGTGGTCAACCAAGTGAGTGTTGCCATCGATCCCTGTGGGGCAGATGTCTGATTGCATCTCTGTCCTGGGCTGCTTGTGGTGGCCTTGCCACCCGGAGCTACCAGCTGACCCCACCCCTGGTCTCACTGTTACTGCTGAGACCCAGGAGCCCAAGTCCATTGTAACACCCCCACATCCATCTCCGGTCCTCAGAGGACAGACACACGGAGCTCCCTGGGGGCTGGAGAACAACTAACCCCAACGTTAGGGGATGGAGGGAGTGGGGAGGTGTCCTCACCAAGGAGGGAGGGCAGGGTTGGGGTCAGTCCACTCTACCTGCCTGTCTTCCTGACCCTTTAGCCTCCTTCTTTAGGCCATGCTTTTCAAACTTTAATGTGAAAACATTTACATGTAAAATGTATATTTTTAAAGTGTATACTCTGACTCAGCAGGTTTGGGGTGGGGCCTGAGATTCTCCATTTCTTTTTTTTTTTTTAATATTTTATTTATTCATTTGAGACAGAGAGATACAGAGAGAGAGAGAGAAAGCATGAACAGGGAGAGAGGCAGAGGGAGAGGGAGAAGCAGGCTCCCCGCTGAGTCAGGAGCCCGATGTGGGGCTCGATCCCAGGACCCCGGGATCACGACCTGAGCCGAAGGCAGACGCTTAACCATCTGAGCCACCCAGGCGCCCCAGATTCTCCATTTCTACAACACTCCAAGGGGCCACTGCTGTTGTCCTTGCAGTACACGCTGAGGAGTGAGGACCTGCAGAAGGCCAGGGAAGTTCAGTCTCATTAACTGCCCCCACCACGGAGTCCAGCCCCTCCTTATCCAAACTGCGTGGTGATTAATGCCACCTCCAGGTGCTCAAATTAATATTTTAAATCTTGGTACGTGCAGCCAGGTCAATGGATTTGGCCGTCCTGAGCCTTATTTCCTCCTTCCTGGGCCAATGGCTCTAGACTCCACTTCGATGGCTGCTCCCCCTGGCTACAGTTAGGTGAGGTTTTGTATCTCTTTCTGCATAAAGGCTCTCTCTTCCCAGAGCAGTCTTTGTACTTGTCCATCTATGCTCTGGTGTCTCCTGACCATCCAACCGTCTGACTCCTAGGGGCCTTTGGGCAATGGGGGTGTTAAGGGTGGGTCTTGAAAACAATTGGTGTTAGCTCGAGAGGCACCTACTCCAGGTACAACTGCTGAGAAGCTTCTGTGCACAGGCGGAGAGAAAGGTTGCTCCTGCCAACAAGGGAGGCTCAGGGACATTTGGGGGTTCAACGTTCTCCACCTCACCTACGTGTGCCCAGATGTCCCCATCTGATTCCCGAGGTCCCTCTTCCTCCCACCATGCTCTACTCTACCACAGCTGTCATGGTTAGTTTTATGCGTCAGCTAGGCTTGGAGCTATTTAACCAGATACTAAACCAGCTGCCGGGAAGGTGTGCTACGATCTGTGCTAGGAAGCCGTGGTCAGCATCTGCCATCAGTTAAGTTGAAACAAAGGAGATCCCCCTGGGTAATCTGGGTGGGTCTCATTAATCAGCTGGAATGCTCTGGACAGACAGTTGGTGGATATATGGCTCATTGCGGTGGGCTGGGGAGAGCTCAGAAGGAAGTAAGGGATGTTATCTTAGAGGACACACTCTTCATTACGACCACGGTGTTGGCAGATGTGTGCATGTTAAAGGGGGTGAGGTGGTGAGGTCTCAGGTGGAAACCAGGAATGTGCTACGGAAACCAGAGGAAAAGTGAGCCTAGTTATAAAGTGGTAGAAAAGTTGACTGAATTGTGTTCTGATGTCAGGTGGAACATGATGATGAACTTGGTTGCTGGCTGAGGAGGTTTACAAGCAAAGTGTTAGAGGTGTGGGTTGCTTTCCTCTTGCTGCTCAGAGTAAAATGGAGAGAAAATAGGTGAATTGAGGAAGCTCTCTCTCTTTATTAAAGATTTTATTTATTTATTTATTTGACAGAGCACGAGCAGGGGAAGCAGCAGAAGGAGAAGCAGACTCCCCACTGAGCGAAAAGCCCGATGCGGGACTTGAACCCAGGACCCTGGGATCATGACCTCAGCTGAAGGCAGACACCTGACCCACTGAGGCACCCAGGCGCCCCTGAGGAAGGTCTCTTAAGCAGAAATGAACCAGCCCCTAATGATTTGGGAGGTTCTTGGCTCATCCAGATTGCAAAGAATACAAAAATTGGGAAATGGACTGTCGGAAAAGCACATTCTAAACAGAGGGCCAAGGGTGTGCCAGCAAGGCAGCCACTTGCTGGAGAGCTTAGCGGAGCAACTCTGGACCCACCTGGCCATCTCAGCAGAGCCCAGGGGTACAGGTGTGATCGTGGGGGAGAGATCCGCGGAGGGCCCTCCTGTGTGACGGGACACATACCAGGCCCTTGAGAACACTGGAACAGAAGTCCGCCGGCTGGGACTGGGAGGAACAGATTCAGGACGCAGGGAAGGACTGCTACGGGACGCACAGAGCTCCACAAGCAGGACAGGGGCTGATGGAGCCGCTGAGCAGCAAGGACGTGCGGCCTGTCAGGAAGAAAGGAGAACGGCCCCGAGGGTGGTGCGTCCTGTGACAGGATTCTCCTCGGGCCTCGGAACTTAACTGAAGCTTCCCTGCGAGGTTATGAATTTCCTTGGGAATAGTGACTCCTTCATTCCTTCAGTTTCTCTTTCTGGGATGGGGATGTCCGTCCTGTGCTTGTGCAGTCTGGAAGCAGGGACAGGACACACCCAGAGTCTCACTCGCACCTGAGTCAGATGGTGACACTGGGGCCCACGAGCGGATCACACTTAGGTGGGATTGTAGGCCTGGAGTTCATACCGCAGTACTGAGGCTTTGGGGGTGCTGGGACACAGTGGATGTATTCTGCACACGACATGGACATAGATGTTGGGGGACCAAAGAGTGGACTGTGGCAGGTTTAATGGTGGGCCCCCCAAAAGAGACGTCCACCCAGAACCTATGAACAGGACCTTGTTTGGAAAGAGGGCTTTTGCAATTAAGGATTGTAATTAAGGTAAGGATCTCAAGTTGATATCATCCTGCATCAAGGTGGGCCCTAAATCTTACAGCAAATGTCTTTAAAAGGGAAGCAAAGACAAGGACACATACATGAAATGTGATGTCTCGAGGCAGGGACGCCTCTGCAAGCCAAGGGACTCCAGGATCGCCAGGAGCGATCAGAAGCCTGGAGATGGGATGGGTTCTCTCTCAGGACCTCCAGAATGAACCAGCCCTGCTAACGGCCCAGCCTCCAGAGCTGTGAGAGAATCCATTTCTGCTATTTCCAGCCCCCACTTTGCGATGCTTTGTTCAGGCAGCCCTGGGAACTGATGCGTGGGGAGAATGTTGATGGCACCCATTTTCCACTTCCTGCCAGGGACGAGGCTAAACATGGGCACACAGGTGAGTGCCCCGGGATCAGAATCCCTTCGGAGCTTCTGTTTCCCGTTTCCCGGGGCCATTCTGGTATCCGTTCCCGAGCAGGAAACTGCACATGGGAGTCAGGCAGTCTGAGCACAGTTTGATAAGAGGACTGTTCATGAAGACGCGGGCAAGCGTCAATGTCACAACAGTGACCTAAGACGAGACTGCCTGAGAACTGAAGGCTGTGCTGGTCCCAGCCATGTGACCTTCCCTGACTCAATGTCAAGGGTACCCCCTCAGGAAGCACAGCTCTTTTTGGACAAATTAGAGACCAGTGCACGTTCGTGCGAAATCAACCCCTGGCTATTCTGCATTCCCTGTCTCAGGGGGTGCTCACTGTCCCCCAGAGACACGGGCCGCTCCATGTCCTCGCACGCCAGCTTGTTCCCACCTTGGGGCCAGCATCCTAGGCCCCAGCCACAGCCTTCAGAGGGCTGCTGGTATATGCTCAAGTCTCAGAACCCTGCCTAGCCACCCCATAAAGTGGCTCCATGGTCATACACCGCCCACGGTCCCGTGTGCGCTCCTGCATGCTTGATGTGGTAGACATGTTTACCTGGTACTGAGTCACTGGCTGTCTCCTGTCACCGGAACAGGACAGCCAGCCCTGAGCTAGCTGATGCTCCTGATCAGTGTGGGCAGCCAGGGTAGCCAGGGACACTCTGTTGGCCTCAATGCCCCCTTCCACTCACAGCTGACCCCCATTCCAGCCTTGCTCCCTCCCGGCCTCCCCTGAATTCCATGGTCACCTTTGTGGCTGAGGTGACCTGGTCTGCCTGCGGGTGAGGCAGCCCTAACCTTTTCTGTCTCGTGCCCTGCTGTGGGCCTGCTCCAGCTTGCATAGCCAGTCCTTGGGTTTCCTGAGACCCCGTCCCATGGCCAGGCACAGGGGGTTTCCCGGACAGAGCTGTGCCCTGAGCCCCGAGGCCAGCTGGAGGCCCATCTGCTGTGCTGGTTCCTGCTCTTTTCTGCTTGGGCCTGTGAGGGACCCACAATCCTAGGGCCCAGGGGTCTTCTGAGAGGTGCTCAGTGTGCCCAGAGGAGGTTCTTCTTATGTCCTGACCCCAGGGCGGGTGCCTGCTTGGGCATTTGGGGCTCCCAGTTCAGTGTGCAGATGTCCCCACTCATCTCTGCTGGTCCCCTCACTGTCTTCTGTTGGGCCTGGTGCCTCTCAGACAAGTCCTTTCAGAGAAGGACTGTCTGTGCCCAGCTGTCCTCGCTGGAGGTCGCCCTGTGGCTCTACTGCTCCTCTCCCCGCCCCTCTGTGGCCCCGCTCCCAGGGCTCCCTGTTACCTACAAGCCCTCAGTCTCGCCAGTGGTCCCTGTAATGTTTCCAGCCACTTTCTGAATCCACTGACATGTTTTTTCCTTCTAAAGTCTTTTCTCGGGGCGCCTGGGTAGCTCGGTCAGTTGGGCATCTGCCTTCGGCTCAGGTCATGGTCTCTGGGTCCTGGGATCGAGCCCCAAGTCAGGCTTCCTGCTCAGTGGGGCGTCTGCTTCTCCCTCTGCCTCTGCCCCTCCCCACAGCTCATTCTCTCTCTCTCTCTCAAATAAATAAATCTTAAAAAAAAAATAAAATCTCGGGCGCCTGGGTGGCTCAGTCGGTTAAGCGACTGCCTTCGGCTCAGGTCATGATCCTGGAGTCCCGGGATCGAGTCCCGCATTGGGCTCCCTGCTCAGCGGGGGGTCTGCTTCTCCCTCTGACCCTCTTCCCTCTCGTGCTCTCATTCTCTCTCTCAAATAAATAAATAAAATCTTTAAAAAAAAAATCTCATCTGTTTCCTCTGGGCAGGGGTTGGTTATACCTTTTTATTTTAATTCTGCCCCCTTTAGAGGGTCTGGGAAGGAGAGGGTGGTCAGTCTGCACTGGGTGCAGACTGCAGGGTGGTCAGTCTGCACTGGGCAATCCGAGGCTGCTGTGGGTTTGGGGGAATTCTGATGTGCAGTCCCAGGGACGGTGGCTCTAAGCATAACCCTGCCTCACTGCCCCCCCTTTTCAAAAACATTCCACATTCGCTCCTGCAGGATGAATTCCTATAGGGCACCGGCTCAGGGAGCACAGCGACTGGCAAATAGGCGTGCGTCTGAGCCCAGGACGGCAGCGCTGGATGGAGCTCCAGGGAGGGAGGCTGAGCCCAATCTGGGAGGCCTCAGTTTACGTCCAGACGGGATATGCGCACATGTCAGCCAGGCAGGGACACGGGCTGTGGGTAGAAGGTCAGTGGACTAACCTGGGTTCTGCTCAGGTAAAAGTAACTCCCCCCATCTGGATGGCTTAAGACCTGCCCTGCGTGCTTGAGGCTGGTCTGCAGGTGGTCCCAAGCGATGCGGGCTCCCTCTTAGGCAGGTGGACACTGGTCTCCTCTGCTGACATCTCATTGGTCAAGCAGGTCAAGGAGCCACACTGAATTTCAAAGGCGGGGTGAGCATAGCCTACCATGAAGAGAGACCCGAGTGGGGACCACCAAGACTGAGTACCACAAGCTGGGATGGGGGTGGAGCCAGGAGAGGGGCTGTGAGGTCAGGGCAGAGCCCAGGGTGGCTGAAGGATGTGCGCGGGGGGAGGAGCGGCCGCGGGGGAAATCCGCCCGCAGGGCCTGGTAACTCAGGGTGGGGGGTGCTGGGGATCCGCTCTCACGGTGGGGAAGCGGAAGGCCCTTCCAGGCCCTCAGGGGGGTGGGGGGCCGGGGGAGGAGGAACGACAGGCTTTGGGCCTGCACACCAGGCAGAACTTCAGGCTTCCGTAAGTGAACCCGTCACAAGAAAGGATTCTTCAGTGACGAGGTCTAGAGCGCAGGGGGCTAGGCGGTACGGAAAGCGCCTTCTCCCGGGGCGTCCGCGGTGCCGAGCGCTTTCCCCCCGGGGAGGCCCCGTGTCTTTGCCCCGTGCAAGCAGGGGCGGAGAGGCTCACCGAGGTCCAACCTGGAGCGCCGCGGCCCCGTCGGACCCGGGCGGGCCCGGGGGACTCCGGGCAACGCGGACGCACGGCTCCGGGAGGGCCGGCGGCGTGCACGCGGACCAGCGGCTCCCGCTCGGGCTTCGAGTCCCGCCGGCCTCGCGGCGAGGACCCAGCCGACGAGACCCCGAGGGCGCGTGTGCGCGAGGGCGCGCGCGCCCGCAAGCCGGGCTCCTCGCGCCGCGCCCGCCCCCGCCCCCCGGGGCGCAGCCGCAGCGCGGGATGGGCGCCCGGCCGGGACAGCCGGCCCGCCCGCGCCGACCCCAGCCCAGCCTCGGCCCCGCGCGGCCGTTTCCCAGCGTCTCTTCCCGGGCCCGGCGCGCGGCCCGAGAAGCGCAGAGCCGCAGGGTCAAGTTCAAGGCTGCCCACACCGGGCGGCCGGCCTTGTCCGTGGAGGCCGCGGCGTGGGGAGACCCAAGGGGAGCCCCGGGTCTCCGCCGCCTCGCAGAGCGGGACTCTTCCCGTCCTTCGGGGTCCGGGATACCCGGAGGGAGCCGTGGCCTTGCCTCCCCCGCTCTTGTCTCCGCCTCCTGGGCGGCGCGGCGGCCCCGCCGGGGTGGGCGGCGGGCACGAGGCGTGGCGCGCCGCCGCCCGCGCCAGCCCGCCGGGCCTCCGCCCCGGCCCGCCCCCGGCGCTCGGTTCCGCCCGCCGCCGCCCGCCGGCCCCGCCCCGGCCCCGCCCCGGCCCCGCCCCCGCGCGCCGGCAGTCGGCGGAGCCGGCCCGGGAGCCAGGACCCGCCGGCGCCGAGGCCGGGGCGCTCGGCGAGCCCTGTCCACGGCTCCCGCTCCCGGCCCTGCGGGCGGGCCATGTCCCCGGCTCCGGCCGCGGCGCGCACCCAGGCCCGGCGATGAGGAGCGGCGCGGAGCGCAGGGGCAGCGGCGCCGCGGCGCCGCCCGGCTCGCCGCCCCCCGGCCGCGCGCGCCCCCCTGGCCCCGACGCGCCCCCGGCCCCGCCGCCGCCCGCCGCCGGCCAGCCCCGGGCCCGGGACGCGGGCGATGCCCGCGCGCAGCCGCGCCCCCTGTTTCCGTGGAGCAAGTGGAAGAAGAGGATGGGCTCTTCCATGTCGGCGGCCGCGGCGCGGAGGCCGGTGTTTGACGACAAGGAGGACGGTGAGCGCGGCCGCACGGCGGGGGCCCCGGGCTGCTGGGGACAGCGTGGGGCCCCGCGCCGCGTGGGGACCCTGCGCCTTCTCGCAGAGGGGCCGCGGCAGTAGGGTTTCCTCGCGTGCAGACACTGCGCCCACCCGGGTGGGAAGGCATCCCGGGCGCCTCGGTTTCCGAGGAAACTCGCGGATGGTGCCTGCGGCGCCCACGCGCGTCCAGGGCTCCCTCCTGCCTCCTCCGTGTCCAGTGGCGGCGCAGCGGCGGGAGGGGGCTCCGGCCCGCCCTGCGGGGTGAGGGTCCGTGGTCGGAGCGGTCCCGGCTTAGCCGCGCGCTGTGGCGGGGGCTGCATGTGTTCATTTTCCTTTTAGGGGTGGGGTGCAGGCTTGGTCTACGCTGCACCTGTGGTGTGCCGCTTCTGCGAAGGAAGACGCCTGCCCCACAGGTGTGGGGGGTCCCTGGCTCCGGGAGCTCTCAGTCTGCGGCTGACAGTGTGGTGTGGCCCCACGTGCCCAACCTTTGGGCTCAGATGTGCGGTGGAGATGGCTTGGCCTTTGTGGGGAGACCTGCCCTTTGGGAACTCCCTTTGAGAGTTTCCCTTCAGGTCCTCCTGCAGGTAAAGCTGCTGACCCAGACCACCCACCCGCATCTGTTGAGTGGCCGCGCGGAGGCAGGTGCCCATGGAAAACACGTGACCGACCACCTTTCACTTGGCAGCTGCCTGCAGGGAAGGTCTGCCTCTGGGGCACCGGGATACATTCGCACGCAAACATACAGCTCTTTTCTACGGATGTCATGGAGATAGTTTAAATGGTACAATGATGACACATTTGATGTTTTTTTGACATTTCCTCAAAATAGTTGAAATATGCATTTTTTCATCTGTAGGCAGCCTGCAGAGGTAAGATGGGTCTTTTATAATTTTAGAGCACAGCTCAGCACAGGAGCCCAAACTATTTGTTGTGATAAATAATTTAAGCATAATAGGAAATCACAGTAGTACGACCTCAGGCCTCAGTGGTGGTGAGTGTGCAGGCCGTGTGCGGGTGGTCATCGGAGTGACGGAGAGGCTGCCGTGGGCTGGCCAGGGGGTGCCGGGCTGCTGAGTGTGGCCACGGTCAGCAGGGGAGGGGCATTCGGACCCGCCCCATCAGTCCGGTGTGTTCTGGGTCTGCCGTCCTTGTGCCCTGAGCTCTGGGGCAGCAGAACTCAGGGCTGTGACTCTTTCCTATGTTATGCATTTTTGTTTTCAACATAAATATTCCGAGTAAGGAGAGCTCAGAGTGCATTAGGAACTGGTCAGGAAGCTTCTCTGGCTGCACGATGAGGAGGTGTCTGAGAAAAACATCTGAGTTCTGTGCTCGCTGGGTCAGCCAAGAGCTGGCCACTCTTTCCATGCCCTAGCCTTGTGCTCTCCGAGGCAGAGAACTCGGGAGTAGAGAAACTGATGTTGCTCGGGGGCTGCCTTCAGCTTTTTAACGTAGGATTTTTCTACTGGCTCACAGTGTGTTATGTCTCAGATTTCATGGATCATTAAAAAGGCAAAAAGAGCACAGAATCTGTCGATGCTGCTCGCAATCTGATTTGAGAATTATTCGGCGCATCCCCCAACCCCTGCATTTGCCTGCAGTGGGTTGGCCGAGGCCACAGCTGCTTCGGGAGGTGGGAGGTGGGGCGCTGAGTCTGCTACAGGTGCTTGCTCTTTAGGACATGTGACATCAGTTACTTGCTCATCACTTGGCATGGCGGCCACATGCCCAAACTGAACCCACCGTTGGGACTTATCCAGGCTTTGTTTGGTGAGCTTGGGCGCGGCAGCCGTCCGCGTCATCTGGCCGGACAGCCGCGTCGTCCCGCGTGTGCGTTCCATCGTCGGGGCACCTACAGCTCAAGCATCTCGGCACGAGCTTGCAGAGAGGGCCGTGGGCTTATTTAAGGAATAGGGAATGGGGTTTGGGACGGAGGAAGGCGAGTCGGGGGCAGGCGTGGCCCCTGACCCCCAGCTCTCTTCCAGGCCAGTGTGAGGTCACCCCCGGCCCCCCCGGACGGGGCTGCATCACTTTGCTGGCCCCGCTGCCGAGCGGGCCTGAAGAGGCAGCCGTGTTGTGCCGCGGACATGCATTTACCGGGACTGCACGGTTGCTATGGCAATGGAAGACCTTCTGATGAATTTTTTGGATTAAAACTCCCAATTAATATATCAAGTTTGGTATGCAGAGAAAAGGATAAAAGAAAAGAAAAAGGCAGTTTCACAGAGTGCCAGGTAAACCCCAACTAGAAAGCGTGGTTGTGATAGAGAAGTGTCCTCTCCCCCGTCGGTCCCGCGGAGTCTAGAGCCCCTGTGGGTACTTGGCAGGTGCCGGGCACAGGTGCAGATTCTCTGCACCTCTGTCTCACGCTGGAACCAGGGGCACCTTTCCCTCTCCCCCTAACGCCACACCTCCTCCGCTCCCAGCCCTCGCTGACTTCGGGGAGCCGTGGATTTCAGGG